AGCGGGAATCGAACCCGGGTGGCCAGGTTTGTAGCGCAGCTCCCCACCAGACACACACACACACATGCAGACAGACACACACATAGACACATTCGGTGACGAACGGCGCGGGACCTCCAGCTGAGACGAGAGCCCAAGGAAAACTGGTCCCGTGAGAAAGTTGGCAGGGGTCCGTGTCGTTTGGGACACGTCGATGTTTGTGCTTCTCTCTCGGGGGTGGTTGGGGGGGGGGGCAAATGAAAACACAAACAGGAAACAGACTCCAGGCAAACACACGAAGCTTCGTATAACGCAGCGCACGCTTACAACAGCTGTTATCGAGAGCAGGGGACTTCGGTGAACAGGGGTCTTGCGTGCTCGGGCTATACGGCAGGGATGGGTGGCGTGGGCGAATGGTTTGGTGTGGGGGGGGGGTGATGCAGGAGGGTCTTAATCCCAGCCAGGTCCGTCTGGCTTGGCCAAGCTGCGATATATTTCCGCACACAGAACACCACGTCCAGGGGGACCTCTCGCCGTGGCTGTGGCTGCTAGTCACGTGCCACCTGCTTCAGTCTGCACAAGCGAAGAATTGGGAGGGGGAGGCAGTTGAAGTGGTGTGGTCTGGGGGGGGGGGTCAGTGCCCCCTCCCCCTTCCATTGTCCCTCTCGCCCCGTGCCATCATTGTGCAGACTGCTGTGAGAGTTATTTAGGTCGTCGTCGTAAGAACGTCAGTGGTGAAGCGTGGTCAAAATAACCCCAACGGCCAGTATGATATGGGGAAACCCTCGTTCAGCAGTGGATTGACAATCCGAATCTTTATTTATCCTGGATAAAAGTCCAATTAGTTATGCCGCTCTTGCTTACAGATGTCCAGGAGACAAACGAGCTGCAATACTTTATCGCTTATTCCAAAAGAGCCTCGCTTTTCGAGTCTCGTTGTCCTTCGACAGGAGGGTCCTGCATCGGGATATGTTGGGGCCTGTGCTTTTCCAGTGGCATTTCTTTTCAGCAGGCACACCTCGAACCTGCTTTTGAGTTTCCGAGGCTCATCAGTTCAGTTCAGTTCATTTATTAGGTATAGCCCTGTGAGCCATGCGGCTCTTGACTCGGGTGCAACCGCAACAAACAAAACACATGAACAAGGAATATCTTAAAGTGGCGACGCGCAACAGAAACATCCAGGAAAAAACAGCAAAGTCTTCCAGGAAAAGCACCGTATATCAACGCTGTGTGCAAACATCCCAGTGGGATGCAAGTCAAACAATAACAACCATAAGACAATTTAGATTAAAGTTATCAGTCTAACTCTGCACTACAACAAACAAATATGGCTAAACCAAAACTTTTTCGAAATCACCAAAATAAAGTTATAAAAACAATGTAACAGTGATCATAGGACCTGTGAATCAAATTTAACGATAAACTATATACATAGCATGTACGACCAAACTTCGCATCAGCAGGGCGTGGATGCTGAAACTTTGTCCGAAGTTTTGCCAGCTTTGACACCTGCCCGCTTTGATAATTAACATCTTCAGATTGTGAATTGCTCACTGTCCCACGGTCTAGGCTACACACTTGGGGGGTGATCGTTGTCTTTTGCAATTGCGGAAGCTAAACTCTGTAAGACAACCGAGACACTTACGAATCTTCAAATCTCGACTAAAAAATGTTATCTATTTAAAATGTCTTTCGCTCTTTAATTATTTTCAAACGCCTTTCTCGCTTCTTCTTTCCTTGGTTGATGCTAAACTATTTCCGCCTTTCCATTGCATAGCACCCTGAGAACGATTTTTTAAGGGGGGCTTTATAACTTAAAATGAGAATTATCCTATTTTTAGGCTATTGGATAGCGTGCATGTATGTGCTATGAATAAGGACCGTTGCCAGAAACGTCGCCTATGATATATGTTTTACTTTAATGTCATAGCGTTGTTAAAGAATGTGTTGCGTTTGTTGTTAATGAATGTGTTTAATAATCAATTTGCATCTCTTATAGAGCATTGAAAGCCCTCGTGTTCTAGAGCAGCCTGTGGAAGCAGATATCACAGAGCTATGACGGAGCCGGGGGGGGGGGCGACGGAGCTGGGGGGGGGGGGCGACGGAGCGAGCAGAGGGAGCCGACACTGACTTTCTCATACATCATACACTGACTCACTCACACATCATACACTGACTCACTCACATATCATGCACTGACTCACTCACAAATCATGCACTGACTCACTCACACATCATGCACTGACTTGCTCATCATACACTGACTCACTCACACATCATACACTGACTCACTCACACCATGCACTGACTCACTCACACATCATGCACTGACTCACTCACACATCATGCACTGACTCACTCACACATCATGCACTGACTCACTCACACATCATACACTGACTCACTCACACATCATACACTGACTCACTTACACCATGCACTGACTCACTCACACATCATGCACTGACTCGCTCACACATCATACACTGACTCACTCACACCATGCACTGACTCACTCACACATCATGCACTGACTCGCTCATCATGCGCTTACTCACTCACACATCATACACTCGCACAACCACTGACCCGTTCACTCATCATACACAGGTTCACTCATAGTGTGCTGGCTCACTCGCACATCATACAATCACTCACACTGCCGCTGACTCGTTCACACATACACTGACTCACTCATCATGCGCTGACTAACGCATCGTGCGCTGACTCACACATCATACACTCACTCAACCTAATACTGACTCACTCATAATTCGCTTACTCGCACATTATAGGCTGACTCGCACATCATACACTCACTCACGCTGCTGCTGACTCACTCACACATCATACACTGGGAGTGTCGTGCTGCCAGCTATGGCTGCAGGTTTTTGTCGTACGTGTTATGTATATCGTTTATTGTTAAATTTAAAATCCCAGTTCCTATGATTACTGTTGTTACATTGTTTTTGTAGCTTTATTTTGGTCTGGTTGTGGTGTAATAGTTTTCTGCAATGCAATATTTTCTTTGTTGCGGTTGCACCCGACTTCAGAGCCGCATGGCTCACAGGGATATACCTAATAAATGAAACTTGAAATGAAAAACTTGAAACTTCTAAGTAAACCCCTGTTCCCACACAAGAGGGAAAACGCATTTTCCCAACCGTCCTGCCACTGAGAGTAATTTTCACCGCACATGACAGTGAACCCGATAGATTCGTTTTTGTTGTTAAATTGTCCTTGTGCATCACAACCGACGCAGTAGCAGCAGTTGCAGCATCACCAAATAATGTGGATAACATTAATAATCTATCTTTCGGGGTCAGATCGCGTAAGTAAATGCGTTCCGTACCACTCGCCTCCACTCGAAACTGGTTGTTCATGTAACAATTTTTTTTGTTATTCATTGGCTGCGTTGGATGGAGAAGGGTTTATACGACACACATTTTACTGAACGTGATCTGGCCCTGAAGCCTGCACGCGTTAAATGTGGAGAGCATTGGTCGGGAAAGCCCATTTAGGCTGATGGCCTGGTGAAACATCTTAAATTCACGTCGAGAGACGGGCGAGGGGAGGGAGATTTGATATAATTGATCTGATATCCACGAATGAGTGGCTGCCGTGGGGGGGCCGTGGCAGGTGCGGTGCTGGATGTGTATTGGCCGCTACGTGTAAGATCTGTCGTGCAGGCGAGAGAAGTGTTCCGAGATTAGAGTCCAGTGGGAGGTGAGAGCGAGTGGCAGCGCCGTGACAATTTCACTCCCACTCCTCATCTCCCCCACTCCTCATCTTCCTCATCTGCACATTCCTCCGCCTCCTGTTTCTCATCCTCATCTCTCTCCTCATTGTCTCCCTCATCCTCCTCCTCTATTTTCTTCCACCTCTTCTGCTCATGCTCATATTCATCTCACTCCACCCCCTATCCTCATCATTACCCCCCCCCCCCCACCCACCCTTATTCTCCTCTTCTACCTCCTGCCCTCATCCTCGTATTCATCTCCGTTCGCCTCCGCCTCATCTACCTTCCCATTCCCATCCTCATCTCCTCCTCCTTACGCGGCCAAAGTAATGAGCTCACGACGGCAGGACGCGTGTCCAGAGGCGTTGAGCCCTGATGGATCAAGACACGGACGTAGAGGATCAGCGAAGAGGGTTGGACAAATATTTGTGACTCCACCTGGGAACTAATCTCAGTGTTAATGGCACTGCAGACGCTGCTATTGTGCCGTGCGCGCGCGTGTGTGTCCGTGTGCAATTACTAAACGGCATTAGTCCTGTTTGCTTGCGTTGCTTAATTCATTGATGCCCCCGATGGTCGTGATGATTACGGTGGTCGATGATAACACTGTGTTATTGGCTTTTGATGACGGTGGCAGTGTTGGTGGTAAGGATAACTTAAGTCCTGTTAATGATGCTGGTGATGGTGGGGTTGGTAATGATTGATGCCGGTGGTGATGACAATGGTGATAACGATGGTCGCGTTAATGAAGACGATGACCCACAATGAAGATAGTGGCGATGATTGAGTGATTATAACGAAGGTATTGTTATTGTTGGTGTTCATATTGTTGATGTGATGGTGATGATGATGATGACGGTGGTGGTGATTATGATTATGGTAGTGGTACTGATGATGTTGATAGTGATGTAATTATGTGTAGTAAGGATAACGATGTTGGTGATGTTGGTGGTAGTGATAATGACTTGAGTAGTGATAATGATGGCGCGTGACCCATCATTCCATTGTGCCTTCTGCCTGAACTGAATGTTCACCGGGGGCTCGTGCAATGTTTACACATGGTCACGCGGCTACGCCCTCAATTACCGCTGGCCAATCGGGTAACGAGGAGCGCACGTATAAGCGCGTGCGGCGCGCGGGCACGTGGAACGCTGCATCATCATCAGCACCATCGCCAGCACCATCAGCCATACCATCACTACTATTCATCATCATCACCACCATCATCAGCAGCACCTTCATTAGCACGATCATTATCAGCACCATCATTCATACCATCGCTACCATCACCAGCAGCCATACCATCATCAATACCATCACTACCATCAGCATCATCATCATGAGTAATATCATTAATAGCAGAAGCAGCAGCAGCATCGTCGTCATTAATGCAGTATTCACCAGCATCATTGAAGCCATCACCACCAGCAGCACCGTCATGATCTGAAACTGCATTCGTGTCTCCAGCATAGTTATTGCTGACATCGTAATCAATACTGATTAACTATTGGTGCCATCAACATCATCACCACCACCACGACAATAATCAGTCAATCTTGACATCATTATTAATACCGATATCACCACCATCACTCTCGCCACACACACCGCTATCTTCACCATCACCACTACCACCACCATCATCGCCAAATCTTCCACATTCATAAATACATTAATGTTTAAACTGCAACCAACGCTACTTTCAGCACTATCGCCAACATCACCAATCATCATCAATCATTTACCAGCACTAATACTATCGCCACCACCAATACTATCACCATCACTGCAATGTCCCCAGTGATGGAGGGATCTCTCCGTGTCCCTGTCACGGGTACCGAGGGGTCCCCGCTGGCGGGGCTCGGCACCCGGCACGAGCGGCAGAGGCAGCTGGTGCTGAGGGCCCTGGGGGTGTCGAGGGCGCAGGGGATGAGAGCGACCCAGGGGGCCGGCGAGGAGAGGGGTGGAGACAGCGAGGCGGAACCCTACCCGGGCTCGGAGCGACGCGAGAGAGAGCGGGTGAGTGTCGGGTGGTTACAGACAGACGGACCCACTGACTGATAGACGTATCCATGACGAGAGAGAGAGAGAGACGTACGAACACAGACATACCTATTGCCAGACAGAAACGAGAAAACAAGGACGCAAAGACGTGAACACTCTGACCGAGAGGCTGACGGAGAGATACTTGGACAGATAAACACAATCAGGTGATACATCGGTGATGTAGTCCTGTCATATGTAGCGATGTGTTCATGGAATGATGTAATGATGTGTGGATGTGATGTGTGATGTAGTGCTCGCGTGGTGATGATGTGCGATGCGATGGTAACTTCAGCAGGACCGAGGGGATGACGCTTGGACCTCCCTTCTCCCTGTGGGATGGGGTCCCCTCGACTTCAGGGGTCGATTCGGTGAGGGTATCCTCAGTGGCGACTTATCCAGACCCAGCTCGGGTGAGTAGAGAGAGTGACTCGCAGTGTCACCCCAACTCACCGCTCAACCACATCGCTCAGGCGCCATGGCGCACGTTACGGGCACGCGTGTTGCTTGGGATGCGGTACAGAACTTCCATGCGTGTGCATGAGTTTCACCCCCCCCCACCCCCCCTTGTTTTCGTTCACCCCCAGGATTCTACGAGCCCAGCGAGAGCGGCTCTGCGTCTCTCAGCGACACGGGGGGCTCCGGGAGCAGCGGTTGCGAAATTGTAATCACTCCCGAAAGCGGGGGGCTCCGAGAGGGACCCGGACCGGGAATTGAACCTAACAGCTTGAGTGAGGAGCAGCAGGGCCCAGCGAGTGGCAATGAAGGTGCGACATTCAACGTCCTATCTCATCGCACGCACTCACGATGACTGGTAAGGTAATTGCCATGTTCCCCGGATTATCAGAATCAGAATTCAATGTTTAGACTGGGAAGAATCCGATGAGCCATAAAGCTCTTTTTCACAGGTGCCCAGATTATATGTCAGCAGGCAAACTTGTCTTCTTTCCTTTGGATTAATAGGAGCAGATTAAAGATGTCATTGTAGATTTTTTGTATCCACTCAATTGTCTGTTCAGAGGTAGAGTGGATCTCGTCCATTCCTCCTTTAAAGGAGTTGAAGACAGCAGTAGCGGAGTGTTTACGATGCGGTCGATGGTTTGGGATTCGTGGCCGCACTCGCAGGCCGCCGAATCTTTGATGCGCCGTTTTGCGCATAGGGTGGCCGAATCGGCCATGCCCGGTCCTGATTCGGTTGATGGTCGACAGTTGGCTGCGTGGAAGGTTGAAACTGTGGGGTTCGATGGTAGGATATTGTATGAGATGTTTTTCTTTGACGTCGGCCGCAGTACAGACTTGCTTCCATCTCTCGCCTTCATTTGAATTTGTGGCGTGGAGTGAGGCTGCTATGATCCAGAAGGGGTGGCGTGATTTTGGGCCCACCACACATCCAGACAGAGGACATTCTCATAGAATTTATATCGACATATATATAATTTTTAATACCTTAATGTTATATGGTACAAGTGATGCTCTTGCTCAAATGAGCATTGAGGTAGTCGCTCATCTACCATTTACAGCCCAGAGCCAGTGGTGGAAAAATTCCCACGGACATAACGTGGGGTGGGAATACCGTGGTCCGCATGCTTTATGGGGAACCCATAAAACCGGCTCTGACGTCCAAAGTGGACTGTGACCCTCAAAGGAATAGCGCCGTCCACGTGCTCGCCACACCCACCCCACCCCCCGTGATCCGTGGATCAAACAAATCACTCGAGACGCCGGTGCATGGCAGCCGAGTGAAGTCTATGCCAATGCTGTTGCAAGAGGTCACATCGTTCGGCGCAACGGTCCTTCGACGACTGTGCGTGATGAATGAATGAATATAAATTGTATGATTTTTTTTAAAAATGTAAGAATCGCACTCCCCAACTTTAACATCTAAACAGCGAACAGTGAGGCAACTCTCTGCCTTGACTCGTAGCCAGCCGCGTCTCCACGCCGCGCGGAATTTCCCCCGTGCCAACCAGTCCCAGATGAGTAGATTAGTCCTATTCTTGTTTTTTTAAATTACTTTATTTTATTGCTTCCCTTCTACGTGACTTCACCGAAAGAACAAAGAATATGAATCCCTGCAGTCACGAAAGCTTTAAATACAATTTTTAGATAAGTCCTGTGCTGAAACGTACTGCCCAGAAAGTACTGCTCCACCACCCCAACATCTCGAGGCGGGCGGGGGGGGGATAGTGCATATGTTTATATTAAGAATTGTAAATAATTATCTAATTAATACATAAAGCAAGAATATTCAGGGGGAGGGGGGGATGTGATCGTCACCAATGCACCCTCCCCTCCCCCCCTCCCCCCTGGATCCGGCACTGCCAACCACACATCCAGACAGAGGACATTCACATAAGATGTATATGTATAAAATGTCTTCATACCTGAATGTTATATGGTACAATTTTTGTGTTTTATTATAAAAACACGTGTTGAGTACTAAAACATAAAACTAAAATCTGAAAACTTTTGGTATTCATGGAAATAATGGGGAGGTGTTAATAAAAAAAAACTGGTATACCGGGGTTGGCCATGTCTGAATTGGCCCGGTATTCTGAGCACGCACTGTGGTTAACCTGCGAATAATATAAACTCGGCATAACATAATTTATTTTATGCAGGAAAACATCAGGAAATCTGGACCCTGAACTTGGGGAGTCCCCGTGAGACGCGGCCTCGAGAAATGAACGTGGAACGAGCAATCGCCTACATTCGTGGGCTCCTGCAACATCAACAACATCATCAGCAGCAGCATCAACCGCAGAATCATCATCAGCCACAGCATCAGCATCATCATAATCAGCAGCAGCATGATCATCAGCAGCAACAACAGCAGGATCACCATCAGCAGCAGCATCAGCAGCATGATCATCATCATCAGCAGCAGCAAGGACATGTCCACCCATCATCCCGTCCACGAGTCAGCCTCGGGGTGGCGGGCAGCGCGCAGTACAGGAGGCGATCGAGGTACGGCAACCCGGAGTCACCGCCAACGGAGAGACGCGAACTATTACAGGGCGAGAACGACACGGAGGTGGGGTCTGAGGAGGTGGAGGAGCAGGTGGGGGTGGGGCGAGCGGCGGTCTCTGCACGTTACTCGCTCATCCTGAGCGGCGTCCCCATTCCGTCGCGATGCAGACGCCGCAACTCCATCAAATCGATGCTCATCAGCAAGGCGGGAGCCACTGCGAGTGGTGCCGCCGCTTCTCCCGCGAACGATGGGTCAACCGCGGCGGTCTCAGTTGTGCGACCCAAGTGCGATTTGACGCCGGACGGGGAATCAAACCGAGCTGACAACTTCGATGGGCCGTACCGACCGCGGCGGTCAGAGTTTGTTCAATGTCATCCCACTGCAGGCGAAAAATCCACACAGGTCACCCACGGGGATGGAGTCGTCACTCATCAGAAGCTGCTCACCGGTTGGTTGGGCGGCCCTCTATGCGAGAGCCAGAGAAAGGGTGACGGTCAGAGTATGACTCAAGGTGAGCGGGTGGGTGAGGGTGAGCGGCCATGTGAGAGTGATCGGGTGTGTGAGAGTGGGTGGCTGATCGTGGGTGAGGTGACAGGTGAGGGCAAGCAAGCGTGTGAGGAGGGTGAGCGGGCGCGTGAAGGTCAGAGGTCGATCGAGGGTGAATGGGTGGGTGAGGTGCAGAGGTTGATCCAGGATGCGCAGCGGGGTGGTGAGCGACTGGGTGAGGGTGACTGGCCGGTCTCCACCGGGGAGTCGAGACTGCTGCTGCGGCAGTGGCGGCGACAGCAACAGCAGCAGAAGTATCGGCAGAGGTGGCTCCCGGCGATGTCAGACAGCGATGCGGACGTCGACAGCGCTGAGCGGCAGTGGCGGCGCCAGGGAGCAGTCCGGATCCGGCGCAAGAGAAGACCCGGCGAGGATCGGGGCACAAGGCGGAGTGGCAATAACAACATCAACAACAACTCCTGGGACAGGCATCGGACTCGCGCTGACGTGAATTGTTCTAAGGTCACTGTCTGCGGTGCCATTGGGAAATGCGACCCGGCGGTGGTGGTCGTGGTCGATGACCGCTCGACGATCCCAGCATCGTTTCCGGGGACTCGAATCGCGGAAGGGGGCAGCAACAGTGTCGAGCCGGTGCTGGGGTCACCTCGGCCTGGAATCGAACTCGGGTCCGCAGTCCCCGCGGGGTTCAACGTGCCCCCCGGTGGGATCCGCATGAGAGTGTCGCATTCGCTCAGCCGGAAGATTCGGACGTTCCGGCCGGAGCGGATGATCTTCATCGCCACGGTGTGAGATGGAGGGAATGTGGCCTCTACCGCATGGGGGCAGGTGGCGAGGGTGAGAGGTCACGTGAAAGTCAGCTGTTGTGTTTTTGTGCCAGTTAAAAGGGTAAAACCTATTCCTATATCTTGTTTCTGGCAAAGGAGGTCTCATAATGTTAATGCTCACCCGAGCCCTCAATACTCTGATAGTGCGCTGTTTTTGAGTTGTACGCCTTTTGGCGTCTTCTGGTCCAACACCAATGGAGACTAGGCTCTAAGAAAAGCTGTCTCGGGTGTGGACCAATCAAATTCAAGGACAGTGCATATTATTATCAGAGTTGTCTTTTTTGTTTGCATTTTGACTGCTTGTCTTGTGGTCATTGCAAACATGATGCCTTGAATAAAGGTGTCAGTTTTTGTGCCAGTTAAAAGGGTAAAACCTATTCCTATAACCAGCTGTTGTGGTCGGGGTGTGGGGAGCGGTAGTGTAGTAGCGGTAAGCGCGCCGCACTAACAATCTGGCGAACCGGAGTTCGATTCCCGCTCATGGCCAACACCGGTGACGATCATCTCGACCGGTCCTGGTTCTCACCTAGGTCGACTCAGCCTCAAATGAGTACCTGGTGCGGCGTGTAAACATCGCCACTTAGGGAGACAAAGGCGGCCGGGCGTGGAGCTGGCCATCCAACCCCTTCGTGTGCCGTGCCGGCCTTCATAGGTGCTCGCTACCAGCACTTGCCCCAAACGGTCTGTTAAGGCTATACAGGAGGATCTTTGTCTTTTTTGAGGTCGGGGTGAGGAAAATTGTGGTGAGGAATCCATGCATTGCCAACAACAGCAATAACTAAGCTCTGTTATGCGTTTTCGGGTCCTCCCACGTCTTATTCGGCACGACATCTGACGTTTCGCTCCACGTGCGGGCAGCTTCTTCAGTTGTGGTCGGGGTGAACACAAAATGTCAGACATCATGCAGAACAACACGCGGTCCAACTGGAAAGTACAACTGGGAGCTATAGTTTTCATACGTATCAGAAAAAAAGAATGTGCCTTGGCAATTTGACTTATGCTTGTTGATGTGAAGTACTGTACAATCTTGATATGAAGCTTTCGTGACTGCAGGAATCCATACTCTTTGGTTCTTTCGGTAAAGTCACGTGGGTATAAAAAATAATAGATCACGACGTTTCGATCGCAACACAAGCAATCGTCATCAGGTGAGACAACTACAGCAAGAAAACTTCTGAAGTAGGCGTATAGAGCTTTTTTCAGAAGCGACCTGGCCACAAATGATAGATCAACCAGTTGCGTATCATGTGGAAATGTATAGTAGCCGAATACTAGTCTAAACGCTTAGTTTTTAAATGTGTGAAGGGAAAAACCAGAGGGCCCGGAGAAAAATCCACGCAACCACGGGGAGAACACGCAAACTCCAAATATATGCAGGCGTCAGGATCGGGATCGAACTCACGACCTCCTGTATATCAGGCGAGGTAGTTAACATCTCGCTACCACGTCGCCCCAATACATACGGGATGTGGTGTGCCAGGGACAGAATTACTTTTTGTGGTCGCCGATCTGGACGGATGCGGCTAAAGTTAAGCCCTGACAATAATAATAATATATACACGTTTGTTAATCCACTGCTGGACGATGGCTTCCCCACGCCACGTCGTCGGTCATGGGGAATGTTTGCGCATATTTCACGCTTGTCATTGACAATGTGTGAAGGTGGGCGTTGTGGGAGCAGTTGTGGGAGCAGTTTTTTTTTCTGCTGTGGTTATCCCACCTGATGACGATTGCTTGTGTTGCGATGGAAACGTCGTGATCCGTTATATTTCCACCTACGTGACTTTGCCGAAAGAACCAAAGAGATGTGAAATGCGTTTGGCGTAAAATAAACGATTAAAAAAATGTTGATGCAAATAATTTGATAATTAAGCAAGTGTTCGTGCACGTGTCTGTCGGTTGCATATTCACGCATTGCGAGTTTGTCTCCACAAGATGGCGCGATGGAGCTTTGTAATTTGTGACTAAGGTATTTCCAACCGGTCAGAGTTTTAGAAATACAACGTCGGTAGGTGTTCTAATAGTTGACAGCGAATCGGATAATCGACTAACGAGCAACAAATGTGTTTAATTGTCGTGGTACTTCCGGTATAAGTTTTGCATTCTTTGTTTTGAAAACTGGGTTTTTATACACAGTACGTGTATTAAAGGGAGCACAGATTGAGGAATGTGATGCGTCTTGTATGTGCGAGAGACACATTGAAATGTTCGCATCATCACCTACATCACGATACACGCTCACAGCAATATACATCCATCCACCACATCACAATCCACCAACCCTCCCACATCATCCGGAGGATTGCTACATCTGCAGTACAAATAAAACGGGACATGGAAAGACGAATGCCGCATACCTGAAGAGGGGAGAACTACACACAATTTAAAAAAACTGGATTAATCAAAATCAGCATATGTATTTATATCGGAGAAATCTGATGAGCTATGAAGCTCTTTTTCACAGATGTCCAGTAGGGGCAGGTCAGAACGTTTCAACAACAAACGATGAAAAAACACATGACAGGAGTGCAACGTATCGGAAATGTAAACAAATCACAGCCACTTTAAAGATAGGATAATCTTGCGAATTGTAGAACAGGTGGCAGCCGAAAACAAAATTCAATCTCCTGGATTACCATCCATCTCTTTCCCACATCTTCATCCATCAGCCTCTCACAACATCGTCATTCATCTCATCACGATTTCACGTCACTAATAATCATTATATTCTTAGTTCTTTAGGTAAAGTCACGTAGAAGGGAAATAATAAAATAATACAAATAAAACATAATAAAATAAAATTATCACGACGTTTCGGCCACAACGCAAGCAGCCGTCCTCAGGTGAAGAACAGAGCTGTCCGAAAGACAGAGTAACACAATTTTCGCTCATGCTCAAAGGCAGAACAAATCAGAGATTTATAAGAGCACATGGTGTCCAATAAGGTCTGGATTCGTCTGTAATAAGGTAGGCACTGATAAGGGGTTGACATGTATGTCACCCTTCTCCACCACTGGACAATCACATCATTACACCCTTGACAATCTATGACATCTCAGACGATGTTTACAATCACACAAATATTATTGGTTCTTTCGGTAAAGTCACGTGGAAGGGAAACAATAAAACATAAAAAAATAAAAATATATAAAACAATAAAATTCTCACGACGTTTCGACTGCAACACAAGCAATCATCATCACGTGTAAATGTTGTGGATTCACTCTTCAACACACCGGTGGGCTAAAGTAGTGAATTATTTGTCTTTTGTCAACGTGACACTGTTTTTGCTGATTGGCCGTGTCGGGTGGTGGAGGATTACGACACATTTATAAATAACGCGATCTAACCCTAAAACCTTTATTATGAATAATATGAATCCCTGAAGTCACGAAAACTTTAAATCAAAATCACACAAATGTTCACACTATCCAGCAGATGGCGTCCGGGCACTTTCAACTGCTTCATTAAAGTATTTTTTTACAACCTTTCGTCGTGCAGTACAGTTTTGTCGTTTATCCACTGCTGGATGAACACCGATTCCACGCCGTGCTGGTCGTGGGGGTTATTTGACCTTACTTCACCACGCTGGTTATTCGAGTTGGCGAAGGCGGGGAGCACATCCGTGGTACAATATCATAAGTCATCTGCTGCCCACAATTGACGTAGCACACGCAGCAGCTGCAGCTTATAATACCTGTTTATGCATTAAGATCACCCATCCCTAGCACTTATCCAGGGTCAACTCTGCGTAGCTTCAGAGATTGCTCGCATTCTCCTGACTCAATTAATTAAGTTTGTGGGGGTTTTTTTCACTTTGTGAAATGCATCTGTTCATCAACCCTGCACTGACCAGCGTAGTGAAGTATGGTCAAATAACCTGCATGCCCAACACGGTGTGGGAGAGGCCTTCATCCAGCAGTGGATTGACAACAGGGTTTCCAGGTAAACTGTTTTGGGGTAGCGTTGCATTTCTGAAACTCTGACCCAGCCAAGTCCTATTTACCTCTCAACTCTGCCAACCGGGCCCTCTCTAAATGTACTCTGAAGGGTCATTGCCCAAAACGTCACCTTTTATTTTTAAGGCAATGTTATTGACGAATGTGTTGACTTTGTGTGTTTTTTCTGGCTACTATGTTACCCGCACTCTCTAATGTTTCTTTCCAAATATATACCAAGTGAATAATAATAATGGTAACAGCCACGAGCAGACTTGTGGAAAGAAAAACACAAATCAGTGCATAATATTGGATGTTTTAAACCATATTGAGTTTATTTTTTCGCGTTTTTTAAAGTGTTCACTTCATAAACTTTGCCAACCTGTTATGGATTACGAATAGGATTATGTATCGGTGAAAATGCAATGAACACATTAATTATTATATTGTTCATAGACCAAATTTTATCCAGATTTATGCTATCGGCGTCATAAATATAATCCATTTGGATCTCTCTGTTCGAGGATGACCCGCGGAAGCTGATATCACGTAACTTCTGAGAACCCATACTATGGGACATGTGAGCCCCATAGTATGCGGATGACATTTCCTTCCAAACCCGGGCCACCCCCCTTCTTTCAGCAACCCGCAAATGACCAGCGTGGTGAAGTATGGTTAAACAACACCCCTCCTCCCCCCACGACTGAGTGTGGCGAGTCCTTCATCCAGCAGTGGCTTGACAAAGGGCAAGTCAGTGGTTTAGGTAACGGAACGGATGGTTCCCACGTCTTATTATTCGATTCCTCTCAGTTGATGGTGCTTGAGCAAAGCGCGAGGGGGATCCCTTTTACGGTGTGAGATTAGGAGAATGGGTGAGGGAGATAAGACGGTGGTAGTTGTACAGAGTTCCCCAGGGTTGGAAGGAAATGTCAGCCTCGTATTATGTGGCCCACAGGTTGTTACAGCAGGGGGGGGGCACCGCAGCTGGTATAACCGCCAAGTCACCACAAGTCGCTCAGCCCCATGGTCACCTAAGCTTCGTGTCCCGCGACCTCCTTTGTCAGCGAGCCTTCGACAACTTCACGTGCCCTCAAAGGCTGCACCTAGACCTGGCACGCACGACGTCGCCCGTGATTTCGTGGCGAATGGCGTCTGTTTGGTATTTGAAAAATTTGGCGGGACCCCGGGGTCTCGCAAAAATCAGGTCAATAATTATTATTTTTCAGTCCGCCCCACTCGTGATCCCGACAGCAACGCGCCGCCTGCCCAGACTCTTGCCAACAAGCGCCAGCAGGCGGCGATCAACACGATGGGCGCCACCCCACCGGCCAAACGCAAGCCCCGGGGGGCGTCCGCCCTCCGGGGTCAGCCGTCGATCCTCAGCTTCTTTGCCAAGGGGAGCCCGCCCCCGCAGTGAATTTAACGTGTTTATGTAATTTTTTCAACTTTTTACGAAACTTAGTGCGCCGAGTAGCTCTCGACGAGGCCAATCGATTGACCACTAGTTTTGTTGTCGGTAAGGCAAGACTCGTGTCGCTACGCGGTTTTTCCCACCCCGGGGCAGTGATGGGACCCCGGGGTCCCGCCAATTGCTTCAATTGTTGCGCGTCGATTGGTGATGCCATGACTTGGGGGGGAGAAATGCCTTAGCATTATACTCTTTGGGTCTTTCGGTAAAGTCACGTAGATCGAAAAATAATAGATCACGACGTTTCGATCACAACACAAGCACTCGTCTTCAGGTGAGAGAGAAAGTTACTGAAACAAGGTCTTATATAGGCCTGAGATGGGTGCAGCCTCAGGGTAAGAGGGCGGGGCTAGAGATGGTCTCCCTGAGGCTGTGGAAGTGGCCATTGTATTGTGAGAGATTAGCATGTCAATGCATCGGTGACTTGCCTAGTATATCAATGCATCGGTGACTGAGCGAGTAGGACATCCAGCCCGTCAATACAAAGACATCCAACCTCGTAATGCAACTCAGAGAGTCAGCTAAAAATCACAGGAAGGATGGAAACATCACAACAGGTTAAGACTTTAACTGGTTGATCACGTCCTTCCAATAATTGCTCAGTTTGCACCCATCTTCTCGGTTGAAGTTGTCCGTGTTTATATATGTCTAGATGGCTTCATGAACACATCTTTGATGATAGCCAGTGAGTCTGCAGAGTACCTTCGTCTTGCAAAAATAAATTTTGTGTGAGCCCACAGCGTTAAAACAATGATCAGCCACGGCCGAGGTATTGGTCCTACCGTGTTTCAGATCTGCCTTGTGTTCACGAACACGGTCCGAGACATGTCGTTAAGTTTCCCCAATGTAACTACTACCGTAGACACAACTTAGTTTGTAGACACCGGGGTGTTGCATGTCAGGGATCACATCCTTTACAGATGGGATCAGATCACGAATGTTATGTACTGTGTTGAATCGAACATGGATCTTGTGTTTGCTCATGATTTTGGAAAACATTTTGGTGACCCCTGCTATGCGAATTGTGCGGTCCGAATATCCATTCATCTTGAGGGCTTGGTGTACGTGCTCCAGTTCACTGGCTAGGTGGTGTTGGTCGGAGATGCAACGGGCCCTATGGTGTAGGGTTTTGATGAGGGAATTCTTCTGGGCTGGATGGTGGTGGGAGTCAGGTTTTAGATAGGCATCCGTGTGAGTGGTTTTCCTGTAGACAGTGTCCCAATGAGCCTTCTGGTCTGTTTTCGATTAAAATATCCAAGGAGTATGAATTCCTGCAGTCACGAAAGCTTTAAATCATGTCTTAGCATTGTTTGTGTTCGTTGCAGCGAGAAGAACGACAAATAAACGCTCCTCCGATTCTCACGAACATTCAATTAGCGCAAGGAAGGCGTGAGACTCAAACGAAATAAAACTTTCATAATCCTTTTCAGCCTCTGGGCCACCATCAATGACGCAACCCTCCCCCACCACCAATGCTCGAGGTAGGTACGGCAACAAGGTAGGGCCCCGACGTCATCTTCGTGGCCGCTCGGATATTTCCGTAAAGATTTCCGAACAGAGCGTGCCGGGGAGGGGGATTGGTGGGTGGGGGGGAAAGCGAGCCTTTCATATTTCTCACAGCGGATGCGCAACGGTGGAGGGGGGAGCGCGCGCGCCACGCCTCGTCGGTCACCGGCTGACCAATCAGAGGCGACAACGCAAGGCGGACGCGTCTTATCCGCACTACGAAATCCAACTCCGTAGTAAACAGACTTACAGATGGCGGCCGGCGGCCGCGGGGGGGAGGGGAGGTTTCGGGGGGGGGGCGGGCTCATGAGCTACGTGACGCGTGGGGCGGACATCTTGGTAAGGGGCCACCTTTGCTACGCTGAGCTAATTGCAAGGGGCGGGGTGTAGCTGGGTGTTGACGCAGCGGGGCTCGTGCGGGGGGGGAGGTGCGAGTGTCTTAACGGGGTTGCCCATTGACCCTGAGCAAGATGTCTGCCTTGCCGGCGTCACGGCCCTTGTCGGCCCGCCCGCGCGCCATGTTCGCGAGGCGCTGAGCGGCGGCCCGGGCCGCGCTGCATCAGGGCGGCCAACGGGAAGAGGCGAAGGAGAAGCGGCGAGCGGAGGGCCACGCTTCGCCCCATGTCTCTGCTGCTGCTGCCGCCTCGTTGTCGTCGTCGTCGTCGTCATCCTCAGCAGCATCGTCGGCAACAGCAGCCACAGTTCAAGAAGGAGGGAGATAAGAGGGATACGGCAAAGGAGCTGCCGAGATCCCGACGCTGAGCGGATTCGAAGCGATCGGCGGCTCGGGGAGGTCCCAGACCCTTGACCCGTCCGCCCAGCTCGGCAGGAATTCCTAGAACTCGGAGAAGGGGGTCATTGGGACTCGCTACCCCTAGGCGACCCCCAGAGATTCAGGGACACCTGGTTCTCGGTATACAGGAGCCCCTATACTCGGCGCATCGATCCCTGGGGATCCGATTAGGGACCACCCCCTGAAACTTGGAGAGACCCCGGAACTCAGCGGAAGAATCCTTACTCGGCACAGGGACTCCCGGACTTTCCTTAGGGAAGCTCTAGACTCGGGGACGTATACGACACGGTTTAGGGATCTCGGTACAGAGATCCCCGGAGCACAGTGAAACCCTCCAGGTTCAGCTCAAGAACCCCTAGATTCCGCACTCAGGAACCGCGTGGAATTATCAAGGGAGCCCAGAGATTCAGGGCACCTGGAGTAGGTCAGCACAGGGATCTCGACAGAAAGAATCCCAGGACTCAGTCCAAGGATTCCAGGAACTCTGGGGTCCATAGTGGGCCCGTAGGATTCTGGAGAGGATCCCCTGTGATTCCGGGCAATGACTTTCGAGCCTGCTTCAAGCAACTTGGTAATGGCTGAGCCTTAAGCGACCGTCTCTGAGTTTTTAGGGTTGGACATTTGTGTAGAGGCGACACAAGTTGCTTTTATTTTTCGTCTTAAGGATAATTAAATAATCCAATCAGAACTTTGTGAGGTTTTTTTGTTCTTTTTTGGGGGGGAGGTGGAGGGGGGTCCTTCGTTTTGAATCGAAAGAAGTTCGTCTTTTTAATTTGCTGAACATATCCGTCAAGACCCAACAACTTCGCGAATCGGGTCATCCGTCCAGCTGCCACTGAGAAGTCATTCCTACACAGCCTTTGTTTTTTTTGTTGTTGTTTATTTCATTTATTTTTGAAATTGTCGTTCCTCGTCTTGTGAACACAAAACTCAAGTGGAAGAAACGCCGCCGCCGCTGAGATGTCGACGAGGCCGCCTCTACCGACAGTTTCCGAGTCCAAACAAGTAAGCACTGGGTGTGACAATGCATGTGGGGAGACATGGAGACAATAAGAGTTGCGGCTCCGACGAGGTTTGATGGCTGATGACGTGGGGTGGGGGAGGTCGAAACTGTGGAATTAACGAGGTGTGCGCGTGAATGCTCACGATGTTGGTGCGTCTGGGATTCCAGAAGAGGTGCGGAGGCAGGTAACGTTGGGGCGAAGTGTGATTGATGGTCATTCGGGGGGTGTTGTTGGGCGGCTTATTTAAGATGAGGAGACCGACGATGTGGAACTAACGAGGTTATGAAGGATGATTATGGTTGGCAATCTGGGATGGCCAAATAGTCTGGCACTGGTGAAGGTGAATGATATTGATGGAGGCTGATAAGTCTGGAGAGGTGGCGAATGTGGAGCAGGTAGGCTGATGATGTAGAATAGCGTGGCTCATCAAGTGTTGGAACAGGTAGGAGAAGAAAGCTTCAATTCAAGTTAGGAGAGAATGTTAAGATAATTTTTTTTGAAGATCCGGATTTCGGCAGTGTATCCGAATATGTATTTATATTGGAGGAATTCGATGAGCTATGAAGATCTTTTTTAACATGCCAAGTAGTGGTGGTGTCCACAGTACCTAGATAATTGGCCTCCACACTTCATCCGTCTAAAACCTCGTCATTTCCACTTTTTTTGGCCATTTTTGGTCATCCCACCACTACCCACACAACAAGTGTGTGGAGGCCAATGCAGAGGGGAAGCTTGCAAACAGGTGTTCAGGGCCAAGGAGGAGGTGTTGTGGCCGGAAGTGGTGTGGAGGCCGTATGAGTCGGATTTTCAAAGAGGTCTCGGAAGGCTGAGGTGTGGATCGGCCAGAGGATGTGAAGAGGCTGGAGAGCTTTGGAAGGTTGGAGATGTGGGTAGGGCGATGAGGTAGGTGGCCCTTCACAATCTTTATCCGTCGTTTTAAACAATTTTCTGCGCCATCAGATAGGGCAACAAGTGAGCAACAAACATTGGTAACTAATGGGTATTTATTTAATTTAAGCAGGGTCAGCATATCAGGAAATGTTGTCCTTCCCCCCCGCACCTCCGAATATCACCGTTGGCCACGTATGGTGCGAAAGAAGTTCAGCATACATATGGAAGGCAAATGACGTGAAGAGGCCACAATGGCGTTGACTCAAACAAGATGCTAACTCCAGGAAGTTACAAAGTTGAGGTGGCACGAGAGGTGAGCCTCCCATGTTAATCATTGTCTAGATTGAGATTTATGTTTGGCTCAACTCCCAAGAACCCTGCCAAAGAAAAGCCTGCCCAGTGGCCTAGTTTTAACAGTGCGCGTGGGAGGGCTAACGAGGTGCGTACGTCAGAGAAGTATGGGAAGGCCAGCAGGTGTAGAGGGCAGAGCATCGGACAGATCTCAGAAGTGATTTCACCTGATCCTACGCACACTCCCCTTCTCCATCGAAGAGCTGGGGAGGGTTAAACACTGAACAGTCCTTCCATATGACTAGAGAGGCGTTTGGGGCCATCTATAATGCAGATAAGCAGTGTCAAATAATGTCAGGTTAAAATATGCTGTACATAGAAACCCTGACTGGACACAAATGGTATTGACCCCTGAATCCTGTCACTTTGCAACAAGACCTGGGGCACCGAGGTTTCTGCAGTGTGTGTGAATAACAATCGTGGGTTATGGTTAATTAATACTGAGCTGTTTAGCCATATTTCATGGCAGTGTGCATATCGGTGAAGGGGAATACTTGGCGCCATTTCGGACATCACCCCCCACTGATGTTAGCCGTGATTGGGAATTTAACTCAGGTTTGCCGTGTTCAAAAAGCAGTGCACTGACGAACTGCTCCACTTGTCCACTCCCTGGTAAGCGGTAAATCAGTGTTCAGTTTCGGAATTTCTATTTGTATGGTGTGTAAAGGAGTCTAAAAAAAACCTCATCCCTTTATACCTTTCTGTGGTAGTCAAAACATTCCCCCAACTCTGACCCAACACAGTCAAGAGGCTTGTTACTCAATAGGCGAGTCACTGTGGGTGAGTTGAGCCACTTGGAAATTTTGAGGCCACTAAAAATGTGGCATTTCGTTTTCTAATTCGGATCAAAATATTGTACAACTGAATCTTATCCCTTAGAAAATAGATGAATGTCCTCTTATCCATGTGAATTGTTCATGGTGAGGTGGTTCACCAATAACTAAAACATAACCTAGTTTTGGCTTAACGTTCATGACTGCAGGAATTCATATTCTATGGTTCTTTAGGTAAAGTCACGATCGAAACGTCGTGATATTTTTAATCACTTTATTTTAATTACTTTTTTTATCTATGTGACTTTACCAAAATAACCATAGAATATAACTTAGTTTGTCGTCTCTTAACGCCGTTTAGAGGTTGTTTTGTTCTGGTCAGAATGCGTACATTACTCAATCGTAACTCTTGGACAATAAACCCATGTCATCTTATTCATACACCCATGTCATCTCAAGTTACTTGTTGATAGCTTGATGTGCTTAGTTTGTTGTCCTTCCCTTGCACCTCCGAGTAGCACGGTTGGCTATGTACGGTACTAAAAGAAGTTCTACATACAACAAGCTTGACATTGGTTTCTCATTCTGATAATAGCATACCCAATCGTATTTCATGTACTTTGCACAAACATCCACTTATGCATGCCACTTTGGTATGATGGGCCACGAGCAAATAGCAATCTAACCCAACTTGTGCCTCCCACTGTAGTTTTGTTTCGCATAATAAGCACAAGCGCTCAGTCTTAGCATTTTATGAAATACACTCTTGTCATTTCATTCATACTCCCACGTCATCTCATTCTTACTTTCATGTCATCTCATGTTACATTTCGATGGCTCGATGGGCCACCAACAATATAACTTCCGGCCTATCACTGACAGTTTTCATTCTCATTCTGGTAGGAAAAAGTACTCAACCTTAGCACTGAGACGATATACACTCACGCAGTCTTGTGTGATATATTTTTTTATGGCCAACAACTAACAACATATCCTAACCAAACATGCAACTCTTTAGTTTCTCACTTTAATCGGAATAAGTGCTCATTCCTAGCCCTTATACGATGCACCCATGTCATATGTCATCGCATTCGTGCACCCATGTCATCTCATGTTACCCATTTCTTGACGTGATGGGCCACCAACAAAGAACGTAACCGAACTTGCGCCACTCACTGCAGCTGCAGTTTAATTTCTCATCCTGATAAGACTGTACACAACATTAACCCTTAAACAATACACACCCATGTCGTTTCGTTCATGTTACAGTGCGTGGTGACATGATGGGCCCCAACGACTAAGCACTATAATCTAACTAAACACGTGTCTCTCACTGAACTTTAGTTTATCCTTCTCACGAGAACAGAAGTGCTCAATCTTAGCCCCTTTGACAATACACCCGTGTCATCTCTTTCATACACCCATGTCATCTCATATTACGTTTCGATGGCGTAATGGGCCAACAAAATAAGAACGCAAACCGTTGTGCCCCTTACTGGACTTGAGTTTCTCATTCTAACGAGAATACCTTCTTAATCATCTTGGCCCTTGTACAATAATACACCCATGTGTCATCTGATTCAGGTGTACATGTTTGCTGGCGTGATGGGCCACCGACTTAAGCGATAAACTAACACGACGCGTGCATGGTGTACCCCTCTTCCTCCTCCCCACCTCCCCTCCCCTCTAAGTGCCTCCTGCCTGCTTGCCTGCCTACGTTGCCTCGCCTCCTTGTGACTAACGCACCCACGCTTTAATAACTCATCGCCTTGTGTCCATACCGGTTGGGTTTCTTTTTTTGACGCTTACGCGTTTTAAAGGCCTGGCCCCAAAGAGCTGTAATGATACAATAGTGGCACAATGGTCCAGCCGGAGCTGTAAATAGCCGCGTGTGCTCGCCTCCGCTCTGCCCTCTTTTACTGAGAGTGCCACTTTTTTTCGGACTATTTTCGTGCCATGTTCGCTTGGGTGCGGGGGAGCGAGCGGTGAGTTGTGCCCCGGATTTCTTGGCGCGCTGTGCCGTAGACCCGGCGCGATCTGAGTTTGATTGCCTGCCACGGCCGCTGACATCTGATGGTGAGTGACGTCTGGACAAGAACCGATCTTGGGAGGCCCTCCGCCAGTCTGCACTAGGCGGCGTGGTGATGAAGTATGGTCAAACAACCCCCCCCCCCCGATTGTGGGAAGGCCTTCGACTCGAGCCTGTAAATGTTATGCTGCGTTGACTGCTGTTAAAGTACGATGGTCGGTGTGTTATATGTGTGTTATATATTGTGCACTAAGGATAATTTCCCATTTACAGCAAACTGAAGTACAGTGTTGTGCTGGGTGTGACATTATCTACCTGGTAATGTCGTGAGCGTACTGTGACCAGTTCGCTGGTGATGGGTGTAATGTTTCCTGTGCACTGCGGGCATTCTACCTTAAGATGGATGGTGTTGGGTCCACTTTATTGTACGTTGAGCTGTTTGCATTTTGAACTTTCTTTCGCACCTTACGTAGCCAACCGTGCTTATTGTACTTAGTGTTCTGAGTGTAAGGTGGAATGGGCGTTGTACGATGTATTTTGTATACTCAACACGTGGTGTGTGAGTTGCGTCCTGTAAGCTGGGGATACTTTTTTTTACCCGGTGCTCTGCATTTTGTTGGTAGTTGAGTGTTGGGTGTTTTATGCGGTGCACTGTTTTGAGTGTGTTTTGTTGACGGAAACACCTCCGATTAGCACGGCTGGCTACGCACACTGCGAAAGCAGTTCAGCATACAGACATACATGTTGAGGGTTGATTGTTCCGGTTGTTTTGTGTGCTGGGTATTGTGTGTTTAACATGTTGGCTTTCGTGACCAATATCATACATAATACAGGGCTTTTTGTTGGGTTAGATCGCGTAAACATATGAATGTGTCGTTAAACCCGCCACCACCCGACACAGCCAATTCGTAAGGTTTGCCACGTAAACAGAACATGCCAATTACTCGTAAAGCACACCAGGTTAAACGTCGTACTCAGATTGTAAATGTTGTGGCTTGGCTCTCCAACACACCGGTGTGCTGCACTAGTGACGAATTGGCCACGTTCTGTTTACGTGACAACCCTTACTAGTTGGCTGTCGGGTAGTGGCGGGATTAACGACAACATTTAAATCTTTACACGATCTAACCCAATACACATGTTTTATAGATGGGTATTGTGTGTTTAGGCTGTATACACTGACGTATGCTGTGTTGTGATGTGGACTCTGATGGGTGGGCCGAGTGTGAGATGTTATTCGTGGTAATGTGCACTAAATACAGCGATGTGCTGTGTTATTGGTTGTACTCTATGGGATGTACTGTCTGGAATAGTGTGCCGAGCCTTTTTTGTGCCGGGTGTTTTGTGTGTCGGGTGTAGTGTGTTGGCTGTACCGAGTATTGGATGGACTTTGTATTGTACAGCACTTTGTTGAGTGTTCTGTGTGTTGGGTGTACTCTAGTGGGTGTATCCAATCTTGAGTGTTCTGCATGCTGGCTGTAGTGTGTGCAGGCTCTCTTGTATGTTCAATCATATCTTCTGCGTGGTCACCGTGTCACGTGTACCATCTTCGGCGTGCATTCTGTTAAGTGTTCACGATGCTGTGTACTCGCTGTACAGCATTGTGGGTGTACGATGCACTGCACTTCTTGTCGTTGCCGATGGTTGTGTGTGCTGGGTGTTACACTGTTGGCTGTTATTAAGTGCTGGGTGTCTCCCACTGGTTGTGTCGAGTGTGCAGGGGTCCAATGTGTGTATTCAGTGTGTTGACTGTTCCGTCTGTGTGGGTGTTCGAGCATCCTGCTTGGCGTTAAGTGTGCGCGTGGTGTGGCTGTGCAGTGTTACTGTGCCTGACTGTGGCACAGCACTAAATGTTCTTTGTTGTTGGGTGTTCCGCGTTAGGGCGGGTGCACTGCTACACAGGTATTCTCTCCATCGTCTCCAGTATTGCTCGCCCGCCTGTTCGCTGCGTGCTGCATCTCCTGAGAGAGTGCTTGCGATCGTTGCGCGTCGCTGCTGCCAAGTAAATTACTTTGGTGTGGACACAGGACTCCCTGTCGTGTCCCCGACACCACCACCCCTCGTGTGTGTGTGTGTGCGCGCGCCTTCCGTCGTGTGTTTGAGATAATAACTTTTGTACCCTGGTGTTAAATGAAACGGCGCTCGCTTCTCAGCGGCCATGGTTTGCCTTTACAGTGGCCGGTTGGCTGACTGGAAGGAAATAAATGAAGAAACACACTAATGTTGCACCAGATTAGGCTAACCAGCTGGGTCTTTCTCCAACCCCTTTGGAGCCGAGCTGTGGACGTTTTTTGGTCATGCAAGCGCCGGCTGAAGGGCCGGCAACGTGTCCGGGGTTTCTGGGGGGGGGGGGGGGGGTCACGAGTACTCATTGGGGGTCATGGGGGTCCAGTTATAATGAGAACTGAGTAACCAGTGTCAACAGCGCTGATGGTGTTTGCCTGTGAGACTCTGGCCGTGTGGGTGTACAGTACAACGTCCCCATATTCACCCTCGCTAATTGACCACCCATGCCCCCAACGCTGTGTGCACAGTGGTGTCTGTAACTGTCATTCTCTACAGATGTTCACAATGCTGCCTTCTTCACTTGCAGTAGTATTGTTTTTAAAGTTGCATACATTCGCTCGCTTCTGAAGCACAGCAAGGCATTTCCCCATGTTTAAAGGAGTGTTTTGAAAGGAGCGTTTTTTTGTCCAGTGACCTATTTTCTCACAGTGTAACTAATATTCTACGGTGGTTCATATATCTCATCATTTCACATGTCCGGCTATGTCTCAATTCCCAGTGAGTGAGATAGGCGACGTTGTTACTGCACTGAATAAACCAAATTGTGGTCGTTGGACATGTGTTTAGGTAGTTATACCAATGCAGTACTGTACTAAGATAAATTATAGTTGCTTGCGTGTTTCAAGAGTTTGTGGCATTTCTGTTAATTTAAGAAGCGGCCTGTTGTCCTCCTCACTGCCCAGTGTGCGATTTTGTCGTCTGTTGATGCCAGGCTGTGACACAGAAGACAAAAAAAACCCCTCCCTGATTAATTATAGGAAATAAAAGTGTCAAGTCTAATTGTGGCCCTGCGTGCCTCTCAACGCTGTGATTCTACCGATCGTTCAGATCCTTCTGACGAGGGGTTATAAATACCCGTTTTGAGCCATACGTGCCATTTAACGGCTTAATGGCATAGCTTCACCGCTTTCCCTCGGCTCCAGTTTTCATTCCGAGTATGAATATCGAAGTAGGATTTTAGCACATCTGCTACGTGATGCCTGGAGAAAGGGTACCTCAGTCTAACGCGTAATCTTTGTTTTAAAGAAAACAAACACACACAAACACCAGCAGCAGCAAAAATGGTCCCCAAGTAGAGTTCAAACACTGGTTGGCACGCATATGCACGGGCGCTTTTCCATTCAGGAAGCGGTTTGTTTTCATCATAACTTCCTCTCGATGTTCTGACCCCTTTCTCTCTCCCTCCCCTCCCGTGCGCCTTCTCACCCGCCACAACAGCCGCCCGCCGTGGGAGATGGCCCGGCTGAGGTCGGGAACAAAGCGGGCCAATCGCTGCGCTGCCGGAGCCCGCTCTCCAACTCGGCAGAAGATGCCCAGCCGCCCTCGGGCCAGACCCAACGGGTGGGCAACTACCGGCTCCTCAAGACCATCGGCAAGGGCAACTTTGCCAAAGTGAAGCTGGCAAAGCACACGCTCACCGGGCAGGAGGTGCGGCTCACGGGATATAAGCGATGGCGAGATGCGGGATGGATTGTGACGTTTTTGCGAGTGCCGACTCTCGTTTGTGCTTTTGCGTCTTTCGTGAACTCTTGATTATTCGTGGATGGATTCTTTCGATTACCGATGAAACCGTTCTTGCTTGGAAAATTAATGAAGTGTTTTTAAATGCGCCCGTTTAATTTTTTGCCGCTCCTCACTCGTCGAGTGACAATGGCTTGGCGCCCACGTGACCGCAAACACGTCGGCAAGTAAACCAATCACTTTAAATAAGCAATAAAAAACGACACATTCTACGTCTTGGCCCCAGTTCTATGCAGGTGAACAATAAATCAGTTTTATTTCCCAAATTAGAGATGCTTTACATCATTCGTATTTTTTTGTTTTATCTGGGCCACCACTCCATCCCTGTTACGCTGGAGAATCGAGAGTTGGCTGAATCTCTCATCTCCGCCTTCATCATGTGAGCTTATTCCAAGACAAAAAAATGTCTCCCGCTGAATCCGACTGTCGGGCATGGTAGTTAGCAGGGGCTGGTTCACTTTCCCAGTGATTTAACGACTTGTCACGATTTGGGAGATTTTTTTGTTTTGTTTTGGCCATCACGTTTGTATCCTGCCTTGATTGTGCAATTTATGGTTGCTCAATTGGGCTAAATGTAACGTTTGCATATAATGTGCATATATATTTCAGCAATAATAAGTGATGGGACGTCCTGTAAATGAGTACTATGTGTGTTATGGTGAGCGTAGGGATCTCCTTAATTGATTGGAAAAATCATATATAAGAAAATGTCATTTTGTGTTTCCACAAACAAATAAGAATTTATTTTAGTCCATTGGTCTATTGGCTTTCCAGACCAATATTATCTAGAAGCATTTGTTTAAGCAAGAAAATGCTTGACCGTTTTTTAACTTCTGGGTCTCATCAGCAGGGTTTGGGCTTGTTAAATAATGGATTGTTACATGTCTAGCTCGTATGACTGCTTTTGTTTCTCAAGTCTTTTTTTAAGTTGGCCAACAGACGTTGCCGCGGCTTAGTGCTCACTTTTACCGAGAGTGGTTTAAGACAAGACAGCTTCCTGTTTTTGTTGTTCATTACTTGGAGTGTAACTTTTCACACTGCCTCTGGCAATTCGATGAATTGTCGTGTTTCACCGTTGCGATTTGATTCGAGCATCAATTAGTTTAAGTTTTTGCTGAATGGGAGCACCTCTTGTGGCTGCAGGGATGAGTTTATCTCGTACTGAATGATAGCACCTCTAGTGGCTGCGGGAATGATGTGAGCACATTACATATAACATAAACCTGTAAAAAATGTTGATTCTGAATACATGTTAATTTAACACGTAGTCTTCTGCGACCAATATCCATAATAAAGGGTTTTTTTGGGTTAGATCATGTAAATATAAATGTGTCGTTAACCCGCCAACACCTGACACAGCCAATTTGTGAGGTTTGTTACGTAAACAAAACGTGCCAATTAGTTACTAGCTCAGCACACCCGTTTGTTGGTTACTCTCCAAGTAGTAAGTAATTGGCATGTTTTATTTACGTGACAAACCTTACTCATCGGCAGTGTCATGTGGTGGTGGCTAAACGACACATTTATATTTATGTTATCTAATCCAAATGAAAAACCTTTTATGAATGCTCGTGGATTGACACCTTTATTATGAGCTTAAGAATCTGAATCAATAGATTCGTTTGTCATCAGTACACACCTCTTAAATGACTTTTCCTATGCATTGCATATCAGGTTGCGAAGTAACGTCTGGTCACCTTACCTGTGTGGCTTGTGTATGAATGGTTTTTCTTCATTGTCTGATCATCAACTCGATTTTCTGCGGTAATGGGTGGGGGGGAGAATAGGTGTCCCAGAGAAGTAATTGGTTTACTCGCAGAAATGTTTGTAGTCACATGGGTACCGAATCACTGACCCCCACCCCCCCCATGACTGAGCAAATACATTAAATGAGCGGCACGTGTAAAAGGTATTTTACTAAAAAATTTCAGCAGCTCGTTTAATCTGTAACCCAGATAATCCAACGCATGGATAATCGAGAGTTAGATGTACTTGTTAAAACGATCGGATGCATGTTCATGTTACGGTTTCTCTCCCCCGATCACCTTCTGTCTGGAGCGCATCGAAGACCCGGTGATGCAGGCGCTGTTTCACGTTTCACTCTTTTGACAAAGCTGGTAACTTTGGCTTTTGGCGGTATAATTTACAGCCCCGCAACAAAGATTGTGTCTCATGGTCGGTACAGTGAGTGGGACGTCGTACAGTGGACCCGTTGGCAATGGCTACGGATGTCTTGATGGAGCATCCGACACAACGGCACTTTGTGGAGAAACGCTGCAAAGCGTTTATTAATACATTACTATTTAATCACTCGCAGCGTGTTATGTTAAATGCCATCGTTGCAGAAAACTGCCTCCTACATTTAACTGCGTAATGTGTTTGCAGTGCACAGGTTCAATGGCCACTTGGAAAGGAGTGGTGCTAATCATAATAGCGACGGGCATCATTTGAAACGAGGCCTGCAGAGAATAATGCAAACTGCCTGCGTGTTTATTTTATGTTGTCGGGAGGTGCTTCTTTGAACACCATTACGAACTAAGCGAGCGCTTATTTGATTAAGGTCAGAAAAGTGTACAGTAAGCTGACGTTTCAGGCAATCTCCCTTCTAGCAGAAGGCATTTTTAATAATGTGAACGTGGTGAGGTTTTTAAAAATATATACTTGTGTTTGCCCAACGCTGTAAATGTAGCCCCACTTAATTGGGCAACCAAGACTTTCTGTCAAAGCCCCCAAAGTCGACTTGAGCTCAGTGGGAGGTCACACATTCTCCTCCGCTGCTGCTATAGAAGTCTGGAAATCCCTTGCCCCATTAGTTTTGTGCCTGCCTGTCGACTCCCTGTGATCCTGGTTAAGTCCAGTATCAAAAACTTTATTTTATTCTGGCTGAGACTGAACTAACTGCTTTTATTTTTTTAATGACACTGTTTCTGTACAATGTCTTTTGAGATTAAGTCACGTGTGTCGATTATATATTCGTACGCATTGTGTTGTAATTCTACATTTTTCTATCGTGACAAACCCATGTGACATCGGCCAACTGTGTTATGGTGTGAAACGTGACGGTGCATTTGCTTTCCTGCAGGTTGCTGTAAAAATCATCGACAAAACGCAACTCAACACTTCCAGCTTGCAGAAGGTAATGTCGGTTTAAGCATTTTTTTTGGCCTTGCTGTAATTTTCTAATTGTAAAATATTCCGTAATATATGCACAGAAAAAAAAACGCTATCAGTTAAGGCACTTGGAAAGTTCACGAGTTTCCGTTCTCAAAGCAATTGAATGGCAAAGTAAACAGATGTATTGTTTAATCAGTTTTCCGATTGTTGCGAGCTGGTGGGCGGTGCCTGCGGTGTAATTTTGCTTGTTGCCGACTGGCCCGTTCCGGTTCAGCTCGCACGAAGCGGGCCCACTGTACAATGGTCACAGAATCGTCATTCTTTGCGTGACAACTGCGTGCAAAGTGGGGCTTTCTTTCCCCGGGCCGTGGGTCATTGCCAATGCAAAGCTTGAGAAAACCCGCCTTGACAAAAACGTCACTCGCTCGGACCAAATGAAACTGAGCCAAGTTTGTTTTAGTTTTCGGAGTAGCATGCCCAAATTTAAAGTAAAAGTTGGGGAAGGGAGGGGGGGTTTGTCCCAGGGTAATTATTTTCAAGTAGCAAAAGCGGCCTTTTCTGAGTACAAATAAAAGCTTTCGACATTTATTCTTAGATAATAGAGAATCATGGGGTGGAGAGGTGGTGTAGTAGTTAGCGCATTGAGCTATGATGCCTGCACTCCTTCCCAGTTGCGGTTACCATTATTGATGGGTGACATCCGAAACAGACCTGGCCTCCTCCCGCCTTCACCAACCCGCACTGACCGGCGTGGTTGCAGTATGATCCAAATACCCGCCATGGTCAACAAGGCCTGGTGAGGCCTTCATCCAGCAGTGGATTAACACACGGCTGTAAAATAACCAACTGTAATGAAGGGCCCTCTGGAGTGCAAGGCAAGCGAGTGGTGTCATGCTGCCCTTGATTGGTTCATGATGATTACTAAAAGATGTGGGACAACCGTTCCCACGTGTTGTGCAACACAAATGTGTGACCTTCATCACGTGTGTATCGATTTTGCACTACCTCCACTTCTTGATGGAAGAAATAGTTTGCTTTAATAATGTAGAATCGACGCTTGATATGGGGCAGCGGTGGCGCAGTGGTTAGCACACTGCACGATGAACCTGGAGACCCGAGTTTAATTGCCGGCCCTGACTAGCATCAGTGGCGAGTGCCCTCCACCTCCATGCCTGCTGTTTTTCACTCGTGTGGGGAAGTATGATAAAAAAACCCAGCCCCCATGACTGACAAATGTGAAGAAGCCTTCATCCTTGAGTGGATTGCAAAAGGTTGTAAATTATCAATTTTACATTGGATTACTTGCCGAATGTAGTGTTGGTTCCATTGTCTGCAATGCCAAACATATTTGCGTAGTGAGAGCTTCATGATGATCTTGGGACTCCGTTAAACTTTCCTGGATAAATCAATACATCTGTGCAGCGCTTTAAGTGTTACCTCATTCATATAATGGGTATACCACAGTTCGGCAGATTGCGTATGGTGGGGCAAAGTGCGGGTACTCCCACTTCTTCCAAGACATCTGCCAAGCATGAAAGAGTTGGCCAAATTCCCAAGCTCCAAGTAGAGTGGTGTAAGGAAATTTCAACGTACCACCTTGACCTTTTTACACCAGGTTCCTTCCACATACCAAACCCTCATTAATGAACTTCCCAATGCAGAAAAAACCCTTCCTGAAAATAAATCCAGATACTCAGCGAGGCATTCCTGGGTAAATAATTGGCATCTGTTGTAATTATCACTACCTGCATGGTAGAGAAGATGATTTGGGTTGGTGCTGGTTAAGGGGTTGGTACTGGCGCCTCTGTTGTTGAAGCTGTGGATTCCTCCCGTAACGCCTCGACTTTACTCCCCTGCTGATGAAAGCCGGTTTATTGGCGTCTTGTGACGCAGCAGCTGTTCTTGCCGTGTTTATCTGGCGTCCATACCACTGCCCACTCTACGCCTATGGTGGGTTTGAACGTGAAAAAAGGAAGTGTCATAGCCAGTTTTTGTTGTTTTTATATGTTTATCTTTATAAAAGAAAGGCAGCATTCTTTCCCGCTTTTCAAACTTACGTTTATCGGTGGGGTAAACAAAGCAAAATTAGACTCCAACTTTGTCAATCCACTGCTGGATGAATGCCTCCAAGTTTTTTTTTTGTTAACGTTACAGGTTATTTGACCATATTTCGACACGCTGATCCATATGGTTTGGCGAAGTCAGGGTGGGGGTCCAGGACCCCTTCAGATATCAATTGATGCTGATATTATTTGTGGCTGGAAAATTTAGGTCAGATTTCCAGGTTCATAGCAGAGTACGCTAACCGCTGTGCCACCACTCTCCCCCTGACCCACCCTCCTAATCAGTTGGAGTAGCATGTGGAAAATGCCACTGTTAACTTCATGCACATATACACACCTTTGTCATTCTACTGCTGGATTTAAGCATAGTTCTCTCGGATGTGTTTTCTGGGGTTGTGCCGCATATTGTCAATCTACTACCATGCCATATGGGTTACTGCGCCATTGCCACCAACTCACACTGCCCAGCGTTGTGCAGTTTGGCTAAACAACCCTCTTAAGTTACTGGTGTGCGCGCGTATGCCTTCTGTCCTTGAGCTACCTTCTTACGGCCTCGTTAAGTGTCATTGCTACTCTCCCCCATTGTAACGTTGCCTCCGCTGTTCCGTGTCCCCTCTTGCAGCTTTTCAGGGAAGTCAGAATAATGAAGGTGCTCAACCATCCCAACATCGGTAGGTATTTGCTCATGAGTCTGTTTGGTCATCCCTGTGCTGCACGACCCACTCACCAGGGATCTTGAACACAAAGTCCCACATTTAGCCGTTTGGAACGGCGTTGTGTGAAACGTTTTCTGGCATTGCACAACATATTTCACTTTTGAACATTGCTTACCTTTTCCTTTACATAGGTTTTCACGGTTGCGCCACATTGCTCTCCGATGTGTTTTTGTGTCATACACGATGTCAGACGTTTCTTGTCGGTATCCCGCGGAAGTTCAGAGCATGTCGAGCGAAACATCAGACATCGTGCCGAACAACACGCGGCACAACCGCTGAAAACACATCCGAGAGAGCCATGCTTACATTCCCTTCGGTCCCATAGTGAGAACAACATATATGAAAAGCGCTTTCATAATTTACATGAGACTATAAAAAAAATCTATATTTATGCATAAAAAAAAACTGTTAAGCATTGAATCTTGAAATTGCGCAACGTCCCATTTAGCCCATGTGAAAACGTGACCACGCTCCAGACTTAGAAAAAAAAACACTCTTTCATTGCGTCTACGATGCGCCGAGCAAGTGAGCTGGCAGCGCGCGGTGCGAAGGCCCTCACATGTGCTTGTGAATTATCTCCCCGCAGTTAAACTGTTTGAAGTGATTGAGATGGAGAAGACTTTGTACTTGGTCATGGAGTACTCCAGCGGAGGTACGAGTGCGGAGAAGGCGGTGTTTGCGCTCGCGTCTGCATGCGCACCCAGTCCCTGCCGCGCGTTGTGTTCTCGTTGTCGGCGCTCTGTCCAAGCACAGGGGTCGGCAACCAAAATAACAAGAAGAGCTGTTTTTTTTTTTAAATCCGGTAAAAAAAAAACATTTTCAATAGCCACAATGGACGTGGTGAATACGAGATGGTGGGTCCTTCTTAAAAGTAATGTTACGAAGCAGCCCTTCCAAGAGCCGTCGGTTGCCCCAGCCCCTGGTCAAGCAGTTGTCGTGTAAGAAAGAAGGTAGATGTGCAATCCTGCGATTCGTTGCTGGCTTGCTTCACGCCACTGTTGGTGGAAGGGCCTCCACCCCAGCGGGAGCTCCTCTAGACTAGCAGTGGTTCGCAACCTGTTTTTGGCTACTGGGTACCCCAGCTTGTTGAGTTTTGTTTCAACGGAGAACACCCCCCTTGCCTGACCGAACATGGTTCTGAGAATTTAATGTATGAATAATGAACACCAATCTTTTTTTATTGAGGCAATGCACGGGCCCGTGACATCACTTTTGTGTCACGTGTTTAAGCCGTCGATGTAAGCCAACCCTGTTTATAGGCCCAACAACATCAGAACTTTAACCATCTGTCCATTTTGTGAGGTATCCTGATTTGTTCATGCTCAATGGTTACTCGTTGAAAATCATATTGTTTAAGATCAATGAGTTTACAAAGGTATTTTATCTCGTTTTAGGTCACGATATGGATTTACATTTTATTGTAGTTATTTTACATTGGCAGATTCATACATTATTATTCACTAATGACTCGTACATGACAATTTCACACGTAAATTACCTCACGTACCGCCTGGGACATTGCCACCTACCCCAGGGGGTCCGCGTACCCCCGTTCGAGAACCATTGCTCTAGAAGGTATTTGGGCTACTGTATGCTGGCCAGACACTTTACCCCACCACACACGGCTTGCCGATTGACTGTATGGTGTACCCATTCATACTGCTGGGTGTGGACAGAGGATTTTAGAAACTTGCGCCATTGTTTCAAGAGTCGCGTTTGAATTGAATCGTTGACCTCCAGATTGCAAGTCCATTGTGCTTACCTTTAATGGACAAAAATGTATGATTGCCTAGGGTTTTTATCAGAAGACCAAATTCAAAATCTTCACCCGGCAGGCAACATTCGGAATTGAGTTACTTAATACGTGGATGCCAAAACCATTACTTGGAAAGCCAGCAGATGTTTTTAATTAATTGGTTCATTATATGAAGAAAATCAGGATATCAGTGCTGCATATATCGGTGCTCGGTAACACATTTGTTACAATGCGAAAGTTGAAATAAACCTGACCCGCCAATGCAACCCAACCTCAATATACCAACTGTCCCACCCCTCCTTCGCTAGCTTCCTGTTCTGTCTATGACCACATCGCCTTGCGTGCATGCGTCTGATCCCGTCAGATCTCGAAAACCAGGCAGGCTTAAGCCTGGTTAGGAATGCAGTAGAAGCTGAACATAAACACACCTTGGTATAAGCACAGTTCTGATATAAGCAGCACTTGTTTACATTATCCATGTTTTGGGGGGCACAGGCAACTTCTGATCTTCACACACTAATTCGTATATAAGCACACATGGTCTTGCTCCCAAGGGGTGTGCTTAAATCCAGCTTCTGCTGTACTTGGATGGGAGACTGCTTGGCAATGCAACTTGGGCTGCGGGTTGTTGAAACTTAGATTCTTAAATGCTTCTGTGCAGAGCTTTCAGTGTTATTCTCTCATGTGTTGGTATTTTTATTTCTACTAGAATTTCCTCCCACATGCCAAACGCTCGTGAATGGAATTGTCCAAACAATTCACTGCAAAGCCTTGGACATTCACTGAGGCTTTCCTGGAGAAACGAGTTATTGTTAATTAATTTAGCAGTCTTATTTACAAGGTGATAGTTAGGCTACCTGCTTGTCACCAAATTACCCTGAGTTTTGCCCGCTTTCATAAGATCCCATAGCCAAGCAGGTTCAACCCCTGGATACTGCTTTCATGCGCGACCATCATGCATGTGATGTTGTTGTAGGCTGTTAAGTACCTATGGTGGACAGCAGAGCTCAGTGCAGCAAAATCCATTGTTGTACTCTACATCTATATTCCCACGTCCGTGTTCCTCGCCTTCACCGACCCGCACTGACCAGCGTACTGAATCACGGTCAAAATAAACCACCTTGACCCGCATGGCACGCGTAGTCCCTCGTCCAGCAGTGGATTTAAACAAAGGGCTGTCCGTGTACTTGATACCTATTTATCCGTGCTTTATTCATTTCCTTTCTCGTGCTATATGATATGTTGTGAGTGTATGTTAATTTAGATTCTGCCCTCCCCCCATCCGTAGGCAGCAAATGCAGTGCAGTTCAGAATTTCTGCTACTTTGCCAATGCGGCACTGCCAACAACAACAAAGTGTTCGTGTTTTATCTTGAGCTTTGGCCGGTTTGCGGGTGGTTAGTTATTTGACGTCAATCTGTTTTTAACCATCTTATAAAGTTCCTCCCCAATAGGATGTAGGTTATTGCAATTGTGACCTGCAAGTTGTTATTGTAATACCTTCGTAAAGAGAGAGCCCTTGTGACTGAACAAAAGCCAACTTCTTTTAGTTGTGAACAAATTATTTTGTGATGCTGCTGCCTTGGTGCACAAGCACAAATAATCAAACAAATCAACACATTCCTCAATTACACTGTGGCCTAAAAGGAAATACATATGTAATAGGTGACATCTCCAAACAATTCGCTCATAAATGGGCCTTCAAAACACATATTTTATATGATTTGAAGAAGAGGAATTGCCCAAAACGTTACTTATTATTTATTTTTTTCCTTTTGAGGCCACACGTAGCGTTATTGACGAATGTGAGATTTTTCACTGTGGACACTTACGCTGACCATTGTGGTACACACCGATCCGCTGCTCTCATCCGTTTGCTGCGAGACTTTTACGACGGTAAGTTTTATTCGATCTCTCATCTTGTCTCGTTCATAACCACTTTCTGAAACTGCCGTGGCAGTGTAATTACTTCTCCTCCATTTTGAACCTTAACCACAGCAGTTTTTTTATTTTGTGACAGAAACCACAACGGGGGAACCCCTAAAACTGCATTGCAAGCTGTGTGTGTATGTAATAGTAACAAAAAAGTAATGGCAGTTCTTTGACCATCAACTTGCCTATATCCCCTTGTCACGTCAGTTATTTATTTAATCATATGTACCCATCTGTTGGTTGATAAGGGGGGGGGGCGGACCTTAGGACCACTTCACATATCACTCGTCACTGATGTTAGCTGTGGCAGGGAATTGAACTCTAGTCGCTGGGTTCACAGTGCAGCGCTGTAACAACTGTCCCACCGCTCCACCCTCAGCAGTATACACGAGGCCATGTTTGTTTTCTTCTTGTCACTGTGGAGGCAGCAGTCTGTTTCTGCGTGGGTCTGACAACTGAAGCTTTTAACGAAGCAACGAGAAAATACGCTTATCGCTTTTTGAGTATAGGTGCAGAAACAGCTGGTAGGAATTCGATTGCAGAGTAGGGTAAGCAGCTTGGAATTTTCAAGTTTATTTTGTTTAACCAGCTGCGAAATCGGGACACCAGGATGCATCTCATTTGCAAGGGTGAATTAGATTGCCGATATGATGTAAAAAAAACTAATAAAAATCGGAATAAAAAACAAAACAACTTTCACTGAAGGAATTGAAAATATTGCAAACATAATTTCCTGCAGTGCAAATCGGCTTGTGCAGATTACCTCCAAGGAAGATCCAAATGAAATAGAAAGTGCCCACTTGTTAATTTTATCGATAAGAGGAAGTTGTGATGGATGGATGAAGGAAGGTAGGTTACTGAGACGGGCATTGGAGTGGCACTCAAAGGTCGGTAACAAAGGGGAAGATGTGAAGTCGGACGGTGGGAGACTGTAAGAGCATTCTTGGGAAGGCAGAAGTTGAATGTGCAATAGTGACAGCCCTATCAGAAGGAAGGAAGCAATGATGAGGTTTGGTGCCATCAACAGCAGTGACAATGGTGACCTCTTGACCTTACATGCATCTCCAAATAACATTTCAGTGCACTATTATTACTTTTCACAATATTTTGTGATATTGAACAAAAGTAAATTCTCCCCTTGCAGCACTCATCATTGCAATCATCGTTAGCCATGATCAAATCCACTGCTGGATGAAGTCTTCTCCACAAGCCGACTGCCATCTCTCACAGCCCGGCAATGTACAACAATCCATCTAGCGCATGGACTGAGTGAATTTTTGCGGTGGGGACACCCTTTTGGGCTTGTCGCCTTGAGTTGGCTGCAACTCCCATCATTAGTCTCGACCGCCGGCCACCATCTTTTCTAGCGACAGTGTCCTGCCCAAGCCCACTCTTGGCACTTGTTCTCTAAGCTTGTGTTCCTCTTTCTCTCTCGAAGCCTAATTCCAAGATGTGCACTGCTCCATGCTTCTTGCAGCACTTGTAATTATCAATGGACACCTGCCTCTCAGCAATGATTGCTGATGGTGTTGTAGTTGCCACCCTAATGCCCCCCCCCTCCCCCCCCCCCGTTGCGTGCACAGGGGAGGTGTTCGACTACCTTGTAGCACACGGTCGGATGAAAGAAAAGGAGGCACGGGCCAAGTTTCGGCAGGTAAGAGAGCCCTCCTTTGCAACTTCGCCGTGCGTTTTGGCCTCATTGCCCATGCAGTTTTCATTATTCACCGTTTAGGGCAATGACTCATTGCCAGAATCATCACCCTTCTATACTTTTAACAATCCTTTTTCATGATCCAACTCGCCAAGTTTTGTTTTAATTGTGCTTGGGCACCACTGCTGTTGCAGTAGCATCAACTAATTAGTTTTTTTCAAATGTAGATAAATTGCTTAATTGGAATAGTGTTCTGTGAATGCACTGAATGCTGGTTAGACCGGGTGTAGCATTATTATTGTTCCACATTAAGGTATTGACGAGTGACCACGTTAAGGTAGTGAGGCCATATCATACAACAGTAGTGGAAGCTGCAGTTATATGGTACTCAGCACAGTGTTATTTTTAGTTCCATAATAATTAATTAGTTGCTGTTTTTAATATGTTCCGTGTGCCTCAATTTAGTGTTATTTCTGTCCGTAATGGAAGCATCGTTTTGTTCAGTTCTCATTCTGGTTATGGAAATTGTCGCTTCCAATTCTCTTCGACCAATATAAGTCTTAGTCGCAGCCATTGTTAAACTGTTCATAATAACAGTGATTAGGCCTACCAGAATTGATTGTAATTCTGGTTAGGCCTAAAGCGGAAAGTTTGGTTTCCATTTGTACAGTGTGCACATTGAATGAATGCATCGTTATAGGGACCTCATTTATGACGTGGGCCAATTAAACTCAACTCGGTGTTGTGTCACACGTTCCTGTTACATTCTTGTGACTTACTGAGCTGAACTTTCGGTCACGGTTCTATGCAGGCTCTGCCAAAAAAAATCGCGTTTTTAATTCTAGTTCCTGTTCATAAAATGCACAGCTTTAAGTTCGTTCGCAACAATAGCATAGGCTGTGAAAATTTGTTGCATTTCCAGTTGCTGTCCAATGCTATTTTTTTAATTCTCTGGTCTCTGGCCACATAGCATAAATCTTTCACCAAAAGGTGTTGATGTGGCTTGATTGTAACCGGTTGCTTAGCATGGCTGGCATGGGCCTTGATGCAATAAATTATGCGGGTTGGGGGGGCGCGGAAAAGCTGTGTAGCCTGGCGCCCGGGGGCCTGGCCCAGTTGCACAGCCTGGACACTCACGAGCCACGCCACCGTGTGTGTGACTCACGCGTCGGGATTTTATCTCGTGTGCAGATTGTCTCAGCCGTGCAGTACTGTCATCAGAAGCACATCGTACATCGAGACCTGAAGGTATGGACGGGGCCATTCCAAACCCGCTGCTTTTAATCTCCCGCGCTCACCTTCTCTGCTGGACCGTATCTTTATGCCCCTTTGCTCCAGCAATTAGAGCCTCCGGTCAAATCTCCCAGGCAATCTTCGCTTGGTGGGAGGTCATTCCTCCTCGCGCCACCGCCCCTGTTTGTGTAGATCTGGCGGCCGCCCTTGGCCATCTACACCGCACACAAACCCTCTCCGTGGTCAAGGCCAAGCTCCAAGACCTTCGTGTCCTCTGGCTATGACTCACCGCCTGTTATTTACCTGCTTTCTATTCAGCACCATTATGTATATTTTATTAGTGTTATTTTGCATTCGACTTCTTGATTCCAAAAATCCTGAGTCTCAAGGCGGTTTTTCAGGAGGGTCCAGCCAAGTTTTCAGAGGTAGGGGCCGATGTTGCTACTTGGAATCCCAATTGAGTAACATCAGAGGCATTTTGCATCATTTGGATGTTTTTGGCCAATACCGTTTTTTTTTTAGCTATGGGGGGGAACTGATTGTTATTTTTTTAACAGGTAAGGCCGACTAAGCTATATAGCTCTTTTTCAGAAGAGACCTGGCCGCAAATGATAGCTCAACGAAATCTATAGCAACCAAAAACTCTAAAACGCATGTTGATTTTAAACGTGGAGGGGAAAAACCGGAGGACTCGGAGAAAATTTCCCAGCGACCACGGCACGTACATGCAAAATCCATATAAAGAGGCGTCGGGGTTTGAAGCAAACCCATGACCTCCTGCATACCAGGTGAGGTAGTTAACATCTCACCGCAGCTGCTCAGAAACCAGAGGAAACCCATACACAATAGGGGGAGAACGTACAAACTCCACGCAGAAAAGTGTCCTGGTCTGGAATAGAACCCAGACCATTCTTTTGGTTTAGGCACAGATGTTATCGGTGTGCCACCCTGCCGCCTCACTTTTGCCTTACTACCTCCCCCCAAAGTCTTTTTAAAATCCTTTTCCTTAAGTTCCCGCGACGGGAAAATTCTCAATTTCAATTGTGCTTCCAGCGTCTTGTCTTGAGATAGTAGCAGCTAGCAATGCACCATCTTGTGTGAAAGATTGTTCCTCGTATGACATTCAAACCTTGTTTTAAATTATCAGAACTGTACTTTGGCTATATTACGTACATAACCAAAATAATCGATGCTTAAATCGAATCGTAGCCCATTCTTTTTTGTTCCCTTCCAGCCTTTACAGAGGCCACTGGGTCCATGGCCCACACAAACAGGAGAGTTTGTTTGCATGTTTTGTCACAAGTACGTGTGGTTAATGCAGACTTGATGCCTTGCAAAAGGTATCTATTTGCTTTTTGAACATCTTGACATCTGTTTTATTGCCAGAAAGGGTAAAACCTATTCTTATTGTTTCATCATTTTGATACTGGCCAACAGGTCCCATAGATAGCAGAGTTTTCCGTCTATTTCTGTCATACTCAAGCAGTTGATATTGCACCCATGTCAGTCCTCTGCCTGTCAGCATCTCCAGAACAATGCCTTCAGTCCTCCTCTTCCACCACGGACGTCCTCTACCTCTTTTGCCATAAACGTTCCTTGCACCGTGGCCGTCGCTTTTGCCCGAGGTCACGACGAATCATGGAATTCCTGTGGTGGGTATAATCGGTCAGTCTCTTGAGCGGTTTCTCCATCTCGCCCCCTCTCCCCCCCCTGCCCCCGCGCAGGCGGAGAACCTTCTCCTGGACGCCGACATGAACATCAAGATCGCCGACTTCGGCTTCAGCAACGAGTTCACGCTGGGAAGCAAGCTGGACACGTTCTGCGGGAGCCCCCCGTACGCCGCGCCCGAGCTCTTCCAGGGCAAGAAGTACGACGGGCCCGAGGTGGATGTGTGGAGCCTCGGAGTGATCCTCTACACGCTCGTCAGCGGGTCGCTGCCCTTCGATGGCCAGAACCTCAAGGTGTGTTTAGACACGCACGCGCGATGACACACGCGGGGCACAGGCAAGTTGGCATACTCTTTGTGTTACGCTTTACAAAAAAGTACTCTTGACGGCTGCGTAGGTATTCCGCGGTGGCGAGATTCTGACCCTGACGCCTGTACATCTGGAGTTTGCACGTCTCTCTCCTGTTCATCCTGTTTTTTCCCTCCATATTTAGAACCAATGTGCGTTTTGAATATTTCGCTGATATATAATTTCACGTGATGATAAGCCACTTCGTTCAGCTATCGTTTGTGGCCAGGTTGCTTCTACAAAAAGAGCTATAGTTCAGTGGGGCCTTACCTAGTAAAATAAAAGTTTTGATTAGTAATTCACAGTTGTGCTGCAGAGCTCTCCGATGTGTGTTCGGTTCACGACACGCGTTGTTTGTCACGTTTTTTTCCCATGTGCCGCCAGGCGCTTTTTAGTCCGATTCTCTCGTCACAATCTGGGTATCGATCCATTTCGCGATTTGATTATTTGGCACTGTAACATTTCAGGTGGCCGACGGGTACGTGTAAATAAACCGCGTACAATGGCGTATCGTTATGTGCCGAGTTCGTGGAGGCAGAGTAAACAAAAATACATGGCCCGTATTCGGGCAGAAAATGGAGTTCCCTGCGTGCATCACTCTTTGACCCCCGCGCGCACGTGGTCGGGTGGGGGTGACCTCGGTGAATCTGCTGACGCTACCGCATTTTGGCTGTGCCGACAGGAGCTGCGCGAGCGCGTGCTGCGCGGGAAGTACCGCATCCCCTTCTACATGTCCACCGACTGCGAGAACCTGCTCAAGCGCTTCCTGGTGCTGCACCCTCTCAAACGGGGCAGCCTGGAGGTGCGAGCTCTGGCAGCCTCCACGCGGTTCACCCGACTCTTGCGCGGGCTCAGAGTCGGCGACGTACTTCGCGAAACGATCTACGACCACACGCCCGCTTTCCCCCTCCCCCCCACACCTCCCTGTGGTTGTCGCATGGTGACACGGTGCGCAGGCTTCTTATGTTTGCTCGCAGGAAACGTTGAGGGAGTTTGACTTGAGCGATCCGCTATCGATGTTGATTGCTATGCGTGTGAATTCCCCACCCCCACTGCCCCGCTCACTTTGTGAATTGTGACGATGCTGGGTCACAATTTGGAGTCACGTTTCAATTGAAGAATGTTTAAAAAAAAAATCGGACTTCAAAAGCTTTCCCCCCCACCCTAGTTTTATCCAGAATCCGTTATTAATGTACTCTTTAGCACATGGTATTGAAACCGATATTTTTAATATGCGAAGCTGGAATTTAGCTCAATTAAATGCAGAATGAAATTTCACGTGAAGTTTTTTTTTTGTACAGTTGTTGGTGACTGGGTTGAGACCAGCAACTTCACTACAGTGAAGAGACTTGGTTAAATTACAGGTGGCAAAAAACTGGTCATCTCAGCAAGTGCCAGCTTAGTGCCCTGACCTCTGAGCCAACCCACCACCTCACATTCTCTTTTATGTTTGCCAGTGGGAATTCCACGGGCCAGTTTTGTACAAAATGTGTTTATGAATGGGGAAACAGTTGATTCTTACACATGTGACTCAGGCGTGGTATTGGTATCATGACTCGCGTGTTGTGAATTTGTATGAATGAATCGTTACATCATCAGTGCTGGTTGCACTGTCGTTGATTTGTGAAGTAGCTCGCGAGGATTAGGTGGCGTTTATCATTTTCTCAGCCTGAGACGAAGCCCCCCCCCCCCCCCCACATCCCAATACGGCTCTCATTTGAAGTGCAACCCTTTGAGGAAAAGGGAATGACACTTGCGCTATATTTATCCGCCAGTGGTAAGGGGTAGTCACGACAACAGCAAATGTGTTTTCATTTATGTTTGTTTTTTAAAGCGCAGCGCCGTCACTGGTTTATTTTCAAGCAAATAATCACACGTTAATAATTCAACCTTTTATCATTTACAACCCTTTTGCCAGTCCACTGCCAGATGAGGGCCCCTCCCCTTGCCGTGATGGCCATGGGGGTTGGTTGACCAGACTTCACCACCGGTTCTGTGGGGGCCCAGAACTGTTTCTGATATCATTCGCCGGTGATGTTAGTCATGGCCGACCAATAGAGTTCATGTTATCAGGTGCATAGCGCAGTGCACTAACCACTATGCCACCGCTCCACTCCTGCAGTCTTCTGTGTCGTCAAAAGGGACTGTGGCAGAGGGCATTTTTTTGTAAACCTTGCGTGGCGTCAAAGCAGCACCTACCCCTCACCGCATCGTGTGCTTTCAGATGCCCTTCTGCGGCTGTCTGGAATGCTCTTCCGAAATTAGGAAGCCACTGGAGCTATGCACTTTGAAATCCAAATTTAAAACTAATTTCTTTAGAACTGCTGTTTAGTTTGTTGCTCTTCCCGCGCACCTCCGTTTAGCACGGTTGGCTACGTACAGTGCGAAATAAGTTGTACATGTTACATGCTAGTAATGGCAGCATAGCCTGGCACCCATAGGTTAACTTAGGGCCCTTACACTTTATTATCACCCGTGGAAAACAGCTAGAAACAAGGCCTGTACAGACGTTATCTAAGGCACTTCACTTTGACAGGCGTAATAGAGTGACACGGTCTATAAGTTGTCTGTAGTATTGTCATTGTTTTTAAAATTTATTTTTTATAACAAAACAAGAGCCCTGTGTATAAGGCATAGACTACATGGAGGGAGTGGGGGGGGCTGTGGGGGGTATGATAACTCCGCGGACTGAGGCCCGGCCTCAGTACACCTGGGTCCATAGATGGGGAGAAGATTGGGTCCACTGCCCCGTCATTATGCTTTTGCCTTTTTTTCTCTCCAGCAAATCATGAAGGACCGCTGGATGAACGTGGGCCACGAGGATGACGAGCTGAAGCCGTACCTGGAGCCCTCGCTGGACATCGGTGACACGAAGCGGATAGGCAAGTCTCCCCCCCCATCGGCGGCGCCAACGCCAAGGTCACCGTCGCCAACTCCGCTTCAGAGTGGAAAGTCGCCAAATGAACCTAAAAACAATAATCCAAATTGCTAGATGGCACTCGATGGATCATGTAGTCATCACAATTTGTCACTGCTAAACCATTTGTCAAGTGTTAAAACGTAGTGAACTGATACAGGTTGCTTAATGCATGTTTGGAATTGCTCCTAAAGCTGCGTAATGTCCTTGTGCCAGAAAACTCGTGAGATAATTTTGTCGCGAGTCTCTTGGCAGATTGTTATCACTCAGGAAATCTAAAGGTTGGCAAAACATTAGTGACAAAATATCTGAATTTGGCAATACTTACACTGCCCACTGTGTAACCTCTGCGCAGCCCGAACGCCCCATAATAACCCCCGCCCGGGGCCTTGGCGTTTGACGGCGTCGTTGAGAGAACCACTCTTGGTCTCCGCAGATTTCATGGTGGGAATGGGCTTCGCGCGGGAAAAGATCACCAAGTCGCTCTCGGAGATGAAGTATGATGACATCACGGCCACGTATCTGCTCCTGGGACGCAAGCAGGAAATGGTGAGGATTTACCCGACTGGCCTTGGCCTACCCTTGCTCGCTCGCATGCTCACGCTCGCGCTCGTACCCATGCCCGCATACTTCGGCACACGCGCACACACGCACATGGACTCCCACGCATGCTCCCATAGACAAAGGTCCCCCGTATAGTCCTGACATACTGTAGAAGGCCGGCACGGCATACGAGAGCGTGGGTAGCCAGCAACCATGCCTGGTGCACACACCCCCTCCATGCATACTCGCACGCACACACTCGTATACAAATGCTCTCCCGTGCTCGCTTGAAAATGCGCACACACACTTGTTGGCATTTTTACTGCCACCTGCTAGTCACTTATTGGTGCTGTAGAAGTTGATTTCGTTATTGTTTTCATGCTCCCATTTGTATGGCAGTTGTGTTGTTGGCATCATATGAGATGAAGATGTTTACATTTTGAAACCTTGTAGCGAGGATTGTTAAACTACCTTCTGCCAGTACACGAACTCAAGAGAGAGTGCCCGAACAGGCCTGCTAAGCTACACTCGGTGAAACACTTTTATTGGCCCTGCAAAGAGTTTCTGTTGCATGGCAATCCCACCAAAACATTAATAAGAACTGGAAATAATGCACGCTACGCTTTTAACTATATGATTTTTAAGCAGTTATTGGTGACCCAGCTAAAATCATCAACTCGCTGCATTAAATTGGCCTGCTGGCTACGCTTTAGAGTGAGCGTCTGAGTTCAAATCCTGGTTGGGCTTTTGACTAGGCTCATCATCCCTCTGGAGTTGATTCAATGAATGCTCCTTTGTGGGGAGGTCAACCGTGGGATTCCTGTGGATTGCCTAGCCTACGCCATAGGAATGTGGAATTTACCCAACTGGCTGAGGTTTGTGAACAGAATATGAGCACCGCCTAAATTCTCATTTGAGCAGGAAATCACTTTGACTTTTGACTACTCATGAGAACGCTGTTTGTCACGGGCGGCTGATACCCAGATTTTAATGCGCGATCCTAGCAGTACTGGCTCAGTGCTCTGATAGAGGTTTCCCTCACCTTACGTGGGTTTGGTTTGTGTCATTTCACCGTATATGCGGCCAACCTTTTTCTATCCAAACTTCCCTCTACTGTGTGGTTTAAATTCACTTGCATGGGGTTATGCGGTCGGTGCGTGGGACGGCACCGTGTGTGTGTCCTGTACTGTACACGCTACTCGGCAGGCAGCTCTGTCGTGCGGTTTCGCTTTGTCCGCGCGCGCCCTGTTGTTTGAACGCACCTACCGCGTAAAGCGAGGCTAAACGCGTACGTCCATTATCAAGCCACCCACAAGCCACCCTTGCCATCTCCATGGAAAACAAGATGCAAGTTTTTAGATTTGTGTCGCGTCTAACTGCAGCGGTATCTCAAAACGCCGCCGTGATGCTGTAGAGGTTGTTTGCGTAGCCTGACGCGCGTGTGCACACGCACACGCCCAGTACTTTGGTAGGTGCAAAGTTTTCCTTGGCTGTGTATATTGAACCTTGTGGGGGGGCAGTAGTGAAGTGGTTGGTGCAATCCGCTGTGAACCTGGCGACCCGAGTTCAATTTCCGCTCACGATCAATAACGGTAGGGATAATGCATGATAATTATTATATAATATAAGTTTTAGTTCCACCTATAGTTAAGCAATCAGATTGTCTCATCATAAAAGTGAGTAGGCCTATCGACATTGATTGCAAGATGAGATTTTAATATTTGTACGTTTGAAAAATGCATTAACACGTCGTAGCTGTGACGTACAGTTAAACTGTTACTCCGTGTTGTGGCCTCAACCGTGCAATAATGTTATATTAGTATTTTATTGTTCTTTAAATAGGTTGTACTTTTATTTCCAGTCCTGTTCTACTTCTGACAAAATCACGTTGCCCTCCTAGTTCCCGTTGTAACGGAATGCTTCGCTTTCCATTCTACATTGTGTCCTTAATGTAACGTTGGTGTCTATACCATGTCCCCTGAAAATGTTAAAATTGCAACAAACATTTGATAATCTCGCTCCGGAAAGCTCAAAAACTGAATGGTGTACAATGCAATGCGGACTCGCGCATAAACCTTTGATTAGCACGGTTGGCTATGTACGGTACGAAAGAAGTTAAACGTACATATAACATACATCTGAAAAATCACGCAGTCCCAGTTGGGTGCTGCATTGTAACGACTGCACTATTGCATTGCACGTTTCAAAATTGGCTCGTGATTTTTTTGTGGTTCGGTGATGTTTATTAACCTTCTTAATTATAAAAAATATCATTACAAGGTGCAAAATGGGTTTTAGTGTGGTCTAAATGGAAATAACTTCACTTTGTTAAAACTAAAATATATATATGTTCCCGGGGAAACCCCCAACTTGAATTACCCTGTTATTTTGAGGACACTACTTCTAGTTCTCCCAAATTAATGCAGTTTTTACTTCTGGTTTTGTTAATGAACCCCATAGCTTTCAGTTGTAGTCAATGCTAATGAAAGGCGTAGTTTTCAGTTGTAGTTAACGTAAATGAAATGCATAGCTCTCGGTACTAGCTATTGTTAACGAACTCGATAGCTTTCCTTTCCGGTCAACGTCAATAAAATGCATGGCTTGCGGTTCTTGGTTTTTAACGAAAAAATAAACACCGCGGCCTTCCGGTTATTCGGTCGACGGTGATAACGCCGGTTCTCCCGCGCAGGGCGACGGCAGCGATTCGGGCAGCACGCAGTCGCTCTCCATAAAGCCGCGCGCCAGCAGCGACGTGCACAACGGCAGCTCGGGCTCGGCGGCGGCGCACGGCAAGGTGCAGCGCAGCTCGTCAGCCGCGCAGAAGCAGCACCGCCACGGTGAGAGAGGGGGTGGGGGGCGGGGGCGGCGTGACCGCCAACGTACGCCACGCTGCTAGTGGCACGCGTGTATAACGTCGTTCGGCCGTGTTCAGTGACGTAGTGTGGCCGGCATGTACCCATTCCCGGGCACCGTCACAGAAAGCGGGGTAATGTCACGCTTGTGTACATAGTCGTGAGAGGTGGTGGCTGTTTGCGGAGGCTTTCAACCAGCAGTGGATTGACGATGGCTGGTGGTGATGGTGTACATGTGCAACCACTTTCAATGACACACTCATTGTTGGCACATGCCCGGCCTACAGCGCCATCGGCAGAAGAAATTATCTGATTAGTGTTACACATTTCCAGCGCTTTCTATCAGTCTGCTGCTGGATGAGGGCCTCCCGATGCCATGCGGATCATGGGGGGTTATTTGGCCACCATTTTGGTCAGTGTGGGTTATTGAAGGGGGACCTCAGCACCTGTCCAGATATAATTCACCATTGATGTTAGCCGTGGCCACGAATCAAACACCGGTATCCCGGTTCATCGCACGATGACACTGCCACTGCTCCCACTTTGGGAGATGTTCTGTTTTAGTTTTGTGACTGTTGAGGCAGGAGTTATTTTTATATCTTTGTAGGTCAGAGAACTGGATTTTAACAAGCAAATAGAAAATAAGCTTCTGGCCTTTGGGCACAGGTGCATGAAACAGATACTTAGGAATTCAGTTGCAGAGTAGGGTAACCATCTAAGCTTCAAGTTTATTTTGATTAATCAGGTGATGCATCTTATTTTCAAGGGTAACCTGGGTCAAAAAGCAAAAACAACCAACTATAAAATATGATCTTCTTGGTTCTTTCAGTCAAGTCACGTAGAAGGGAAATAATAAAAATAAAACATAAAATAAAATTCTCACAGCGTTTCGGCCACAACACAAGTAGCCTTCCTCAGGTGAAGAAACAACTGTCGGAAAGACAGCGCTCCAGAATTTAGCATTGAAGTAGTTGTGTTAATATGATCGAGTCAGAGTTTACATATCAACAGAGGCATTTAATGCCTCTGTTGATATGTAAACTGACTTTAACATAGCTTCTTCCGTGACCAGTTACATGCTAATCCCTCACACTAACATCATGCTAATCTCCCAATTACATGCCAATTTCTGACTTTAACATCCTGCTAATCTATCACATTAAGACAACTACTTCAATGCTAAATTATTCTGTTGATATGTAAACTCCTTTGTCAAGGCGCTCTGCTTCTCCCACCCAGCTTAAAATACGCTGCCAAGCTTAGCAGTGTTCATTGGAGCGCTGTCTTTCCGACAGTTCTGTTTCTTCACCTGAGGAAGGCTACTTGTGTTGTGACCGAAACGTCATGAGAATTTAATTTTATTATGTTTTATTTTTATTATTTTATTATTTCTCTTCTACGTGACTTTACTGAAAGAACCAAGAAGATGAATCCCTGCAGTCACGAAAGCTTTAAATCGAAATATAAAATATTTATCTGGCTTTAAAGGTCAAGGGCATACGTCAGATGCTAGGTATTGTAATCTCTTGTCATTCTTCTTGACCATGTTGATTTTGACAGTTTATCAAATTGTGTTGGGGAGGGATGATCCAGGTGAATAATTCTATGATCCACCAACCCTTGGCTCAATACTGCCTATCTCAAAAGGCCACTTGCAAACCGATCTGAAGAATGAATAATAATCTGCAGTCTGTCACGAAGAAAGTTGAGTGGTGATTGTATTTTTTATCTCTTTTTTTATTGATTTTATTTGTTGACGCGGGTTAGAAAACATTCTACCACCAGCTATATTACAAGAATGCACTATGTCCCGTGCAGGGAGCTTGGTGAAAAAAATAACAAAGTTACAGCAAATAAATCATAATGTTGCAGACTATCGTAAATTTGTTAGGGGTTTTTTTTGCCTTCCAGTGCCTTGCAGTGACCTGGCCCCCGGGGTTTCTTGTCAACAGAATCTTTACAGGAAGTTGTTACTCCTCCCCTGACTGTTGTTGTTCCTACTCTTATCTCGGCTACTAGCTGTGGCCACTCGTCCAAAGGACAGGTTCACTTCGCTTCAGCACGTAGTAGACTTTAGCATGTCCACTGCTGGGACGCTGGCACAGTGTAGCAGTTAGCGGCACACTGGACTTGCAATCCAGAGGTCGCCCGTCTCCCAGCCGGCAGTTTAAACAACGGTGTTAAACAACTGGTTCAGGTTTCTTAAATCTCCCCACTCCATACCCCCCCCGTCTGTCCACCCAGCTGTGTAAATGCTTGCACCACAGTTAGTCGATCGGCAGGTCGCGTGCAGCGGGGTAAAGTGTGTGGGAATCTCACCACCTCTTCCAATTGAGCGTAGAAGAGTAGGCCATATATGATTTGGAGCTCTCTTGAATGATAGCCCTTCCGTAGGTAATGCTGTGAGCCAGCAAAATTGCAGGGCTGCACCTTCACCTTTTACTGCCGGATGAAGGCCCCCCTCCGCCTACGGTCAGTGTGGGTTGGTGGAGGTCGAAGGTCTGGTCCACCATCAGTTCAGATGTCAATAAACGCTAATGTTAGCTGTGGCTGGGAATTTTCTTCGCCTCTTGCTGAGTCAGTTGTGTCGTGTGCTAGCTACTGCGCTCCGCCTGTGCCTCCAGCGTGGACAACGGTCAACTAAATACACTTTGTGTACCTTGTGTCTTCGGTATCATTTGAAAAATGGAGTTTTCATTGTTAATTTGGACATAGTAAAAGTCTCTCGATTAAAATATTCAACCTAGAACTGTTTCTGGTGATAATATTGCAGTAATATGTAGTAATTTGTTTAAAACTCACCCTGGAGGATGACCACTGATAATGCTATGTAACACAATTTTTGTTCCTGGGTAGTAAGTGTTATTTCGTAATTGCTTACACCTAAAAAGTATAGAAAGTTCCTATTATTCCCCACAAACTTTGCTTTCGTGACCAGGACAGTGATCATTTGAAATTTACCTATTTTCCATGAGAAAATAGGTAAATTTTCCATGAGAAAATAGGTAAAAAACAACATATGAATCAAAATTAACATGTATTTATACTAAAGTAATACAAAAATGGCTACAAAAGATTTAGAAGTGAGGCGTTTTTCGAGATTTACGATTATACTGTAAATCGCTTTCACAAATCAGCCCCCAAATGTAGTCTCCCATCATGTTCTCGTTATACTGTCCTTGGTAGCGGCATGCAACGTCCAGTATATCTCGGTGGAAGCGCTCGCCTTGTTCCTCTGAGTACGCTCCCATGTTCTCCTTGAATTTATAAAGATGAGCATCAAGGATATTGACTTTGAGGGACATCCTACAGCCCATTGTGCCGTAGTTCTTCACCAGAGTCTCAACCAGCTCCACATAGTGTTCGATCTTGTGATGGCCCAGGAAGCCACGAACCACTGCGGCGCAAAGCTGTTCCAGGCCGCTTTCTCCTTACTAGTGAGCTTCTTGGGGAATTTATTGCACTCCAGGATCTTCTTTATCTGTGGTCCGACGAAGACACCAGCTTTGACCTTTTCCTCAGACAGCTTAGGGAAGAAGTCTTGAAGGTATGTACTTGAAGGCTGCCGACTCCTTATCTACAGCTCTGACAAATTGTTTCATGAGGGGCCCAATTTGATGTGCAGTGGTGTTCCTCCGCACAGAGAACTCGGCCCGCTGTGGCCAGTCCCGCCTGTGGTAGTGCGCCTTAGTGTCTAAATCTTTTGTAGTTATTTTTGTATTACTTTAGTATAAATACATGTACATTTTTATTCATATGTTGTTTTTTCTGACTTGATGTGAACGAAAAGACACAAATTCGCCTGTTTTCTCATTGAAAAATAGGTAAATTTCAAAATATCACTGTCCTGGTCACAAAAGCAAAGTTTGTGGGGAATAATTGCCATTTTATGTACTTTTGAGGCATACGCAATTAGGATATAACACTTACTACCCAGGAACAACAACAAAAAATTGTTACACAGTGAAGTTAATTTCATGGGTAGGCATGAGGTGGATTGTGGCATCACAGAATTTTAAGGCATGGTGACAGTTTGGGGAGGCCTCCATCAAATAGTGGATTTTATCAAAGCTCGTTATGATGATGGCATGGGGAGGACTAAATCCAGCAGTGGATAGACACTAACTGATGATGATTGTTGTTTCATTGATCTGAACGATGCAACTCCCTCCCACAGACGATCACGGATTATACATCACATCTTTATCTTACAACGTTATTCTTATTCGTTTTGCAATGTCACCGTTATTCTCTCTTTCAAAGCATTTTACTTGTCCTGTTTTTGCACCGTTTTTCTTTCACAACGCGCATCTTCTTCCTCGTGAAAGGGAAAGGCTCAATGAAACTCTTGATTTTATTATCGAGATAGAGGAGCGGGAATCGTAGCGAAAATTTCGTGTCCTTTGCGTTGAGTGGGTTCCTCTTAATAATGGACTTCGTTCAAGGAGGCTCTGTTGAATTACTACTCCCCCCCCCGCCCCTTCTCAAGGGACGCCTTGTCTGGTTTATGACGGCGGTGGTTTGAGGAGGAGCGTGGTAGTTTGACCAAGGCGCCAGCTCACAGTAGGGTGGTCTTACAAGGCGTGTCATGGGATCGTTTACGATCACAAGGCACTGGAGTTGTCTGTGTGTGTGTGTTTGCGTGTGTGCGAGCGTGTTAAAATGGTGGCACAGTGGTTAGCGCACTGCGATTGATTCTCGCTCATGGCCGTCATCAGCGACAGTTATTTTAACCGTTCCTGGACCCCCCCCCCCAGATCGATTTAGCGTTAAGTGAGTACCTGATGTGATGTGTAAACATCACCACTAGGGAAACAAAGGTGGCCAGGAGTGGTGCTAGCCATGCCAAACCATAAAATTTGCTCAACAGTCTGTTAAGGCTATAAAGGGATCTCCAGTCCTTTTTATTTTTATCTGAGGGAATGGCGGTGTAGTGGTTGGCGCATTGCGCTACAAACACAGTGACTTGGGTTACATTTTCATTCACTGCTAACATAAGTGGCAAGTGTATAAATGGTACATCACAATTAGTAAAACGGAAGCTTGCGTGTGGTGGAATAACGTGTGGGTATTGTCACCCCATCCAGGAGGGCAGGCCATTTTGGAAGAGCAGGCCATGGATACTCTAAATGCATGTTTTGTAATGTGGAGGGAAAAAACCGGAAGACCCGGATAAAAATGCAAGCGACTGCGGGGAGAACAGTCTGCTAATGGTGGCGTGAGCGAGCTATTGCAGTGCTGCACCTGTACATGAACCCTCGCTGAGCCTATCCCCCTACGCAAGTAGATCTCGGAGGGTGGACGGGGGGGGGGGGAACTCCTTCGCTGGTTTCCAACCCTAAGCGGTGGTGGCGGTGGCGACGGCCTTCAACCTATGCGTGTCCCACCTCAGGCGGCCCGTCCTCCGGCCCGGCGTTTGGAAAGCGCCCGTCCACCGCCGGCAACGACGGTGACGACAGTCGCAAGGCAGCCGGCGGCGGCTCGGGGAAGGCGGAGCGGACACCGCCCAGCCCGGCGGCGGTGTTCGACCCGTCCAACGCGGGCCGTTTGGAGAACCCTCCGCGGAAAAAGGGCTCCACGCCGTCATCGTCCGTAAGCGCTCCCAGGGTGGCAACGCGCCGCCGGGTTTTCCGCGGTCGCCGTGCTGTGTAGCCCTCAAGACGGGTTACCGGGTTGTACCGCCCATCGTTCCGCGTCCTTCGCTCATCGTGAAGCAACGTGTATAGCGCATTGTTAAAACGTATAGCATGCGCGGAGTTGAACTTGAAAGGACGTTTCGGTGGCGTCAGGGAATTTAATTAAAGGAGGAGAAAAGGTCTGTAAAGTTCTCCGGCAGAAGGACGAACACCGGCGCCGATTTGTGGCGCTGTGAGAGAGGAGTGGTGGGGGGAGTGAAGTTTAGACGACGGTAGCCGCGACAGAGAAGCGACGTTCGCATCGTCTGGTTCGAGACACGACACAGGGCTTGAGAACGATTATGAGGACGCCTCTTCAGGCAGACCGGAGGTTGCGAGATGGGACGTAGAATGAGACGGCAGATACTAAATATGCCGTTTGACCCAGCATGAGTGTGCGTTTGGTAACAGCGCACACTCATGTGTAGAGCACGCCTTGTTGCACTGGAAGCGAGTGGAGTTGATTGAGAAGCTCTGTTTCTAGTGGCCGAGCACTGTGCGGACGAGGCAGTTTTGAATGCTCTGAAGACGCTATAGATATTTTATGGATAGACACAGATGTCCGACGTTTTGCTTTCAGTATTTGAAGAAGCTCCCAGCAGGTGCAACAAAACGTCGGACATCGTGCCGTAACAACGCGCGGTGCAACATCCCGAAAGTGCATTGGAGAAATTTGCCCTTGGTTTACCCAGGAAAGTGTCGCTACGCCGCGAGACGAATCATTATTATCAAAAGGGTCCGGCTCCACTGGCATTGTATGGCATGCGGACAGACCCTGGAGTACCTTTGAGAGAATAAATGAAGGGATAAAAATTCAGAGCTCCGCACAGATGTATTCAATAATCTATCGTTGTACTGCTGTTGTGTGCTGCCACCTCGCAAGCCCAAGCCTACGACATCTGGTTATTCCCAGGTGTTCGCTTCAATCCAAGCGCTAACCAGGCACCGCAACCTCCCAGATTAACTTCCGAGATCCCAAACGATTGGACGCATTCAGGGCGGTCGGGTCTGAGACGGCGAGATACGGGGCGGGGGGGGGAAGGATGGGGACACGCTTATAAAGCACCGTCAGCCAGGTCGGGTTTCACTACGGTGACCGCTTACATCGTGCACCAGAGCATCCGCCAGAGGTCATCGAGCCAATTGTAAGCTGTAATTCACATTAAGCCCTGGGCTCTGGAGAGCGACGCATGCAGCTCGACCCTCTCTCTCTGTCTGTCGTGCACGCTTTGCCGACCGTGGTTCGTCACGTCACCTAGCGGTGTCGTCGGAACTGCTGACACGCACGCATGTACGCGCATGTCGCGTGTCGCAACTGACCACCGCGGCGGGTGCCTTGGTCGAGATAGCGCAGGGCTCCTGACGCCGTTTTGCCTCGTGCGCACCGTTGCAGAACAACGCGGCGTCAGGGTGGCGCTCGCAACGCAACCCGTATGAACCTTTGGACCAGACCGCGTCCTCGATACAGAACGGGAAGGAGAACAGGTGAGTTTCCGCGGGGGGGGGCGTCGCTTCTGCCGCGTCGCGCCTCCCTCTCGCTTGAGCAGTCTTGCGCCGGCGGTGCATTCGAACAATTGCCTTTAAATATGTACACGTGCTCTTTTGTACATGTTTAAATGCGCTTGCAAATGCGCGGATATGCGCCGTGCGTCTTGACGTTCGCGTATGTACACTCGCGGCTGCGGTAACGATGCAAGAGAATGTTATTATGCAGGTGTGTTTCCCCGCAGAGTTGCGGGGACAAGTTGTAAGTAATATAAGTTGTGCGGAAATTGCCTAATGCATTGCCATAGGCTGTTCTCAACTGATGGAAAGGGGTATGCAGAGACACTCTTCACTGCTTTGGAAGTAAGCTGTAGAATTGGCATTCTACACAGCAGGGCAGGTGAAACTGCCAAACGCACGATTGTACCAAAATTAGGAGTACTTCAGCAGTATTGACTCGCCTATGGCTGCTAAAGTGCGCAAATACATTTTCAGGTTTTCGCGAGTTGGTTACATCGCTGCATCCCCTTGCTCATCATGTCGTGTTTCTATTTTATAATCTTTAAGGCTTTCAGCATAACCCACTTACCCCTACTGCAGCAGCTGACTCCGCAGCCATCCCTTGCGTCCATTGCCTTTTAATCCACATCTCACGTGACCGACGACTCACCGACCCCCCCTGACACCCCCCCCCCCCCCCATGTGTGTCTCATGTCCCTGCTCCCACCGCGGCTAACACCGTTCATCCTCGCTGCTAAAAAAAAAAACAAATCCCGCCGCTTGCTTGGGCACAGCGCGCCCGAGTCTCCGCAGCATCGCGGTGGCGGGGCCTCCTCCTCTGTCGTGGCCGCCTCTTCCACCACCACCTCCTCCTCCTCCTCCTCGCCTGCCGCCGGCGCCCCCTTACCGACGGTCGTGTCCGCGCGCACGCGCCACCAAAAGTCCTTGTCCTCATCGGAGCACCCGGGCACACTCTCGGAGGTGTCCGACTCGCTTTACTCCACGTAAGCGATCATCGCCATCCCATCGCGCCGCCCTTCCCCCACTGCCCTGCTCCTCTTGCCCACCGCGCTCCCCTCGCACGCTTGTGAGAGCCGGGCGGCATTTGCCAAGCAGTCGCAATCCATTGAATCTCAAACGATCGTGATTGTCGAGGTTGGTCACTAATACACGGGTCAATTGGTGCATGTGCGATTGGGCTGTTTAAGACCAGCGCAGATTTTGCGCGGACGACATGTTGTTAGGTCTTGCAAACTCCAGTCCCCGTGAACCGCGTTCACCAATCTCTTTACGCGCTGTGCACGCTGCCCGGTGATATCCGCTGCCGCGGGCCGTTCTCCAACACGAAGGCTCTGTGTCACATGATATGATGTCGATAGCAAAATTGGGATAATCCTGGGAAAGTTACGACAAAATAGCGTAAAAATTAAATGGGACACATTGTGGTTTGTTGCAAGCAATGGATTTTTTAGGAAGCTCTGTTTTAGGCTACTGGAATGAACGAAATGGAACACACGAGACAAATCATCCCCTGGACCGAGAAAGAGAGTACAGATGAGACCGGACAAAGAACCTGTTCTCGATCATCGGTCTTAAATCGTTTATTTAAATTGAATCACTCAGGTGGAGGGGAGGGAATATTGTGTCACGCTTTTTGCTAAGCCCCCCACCCCCCAACCACAGCTGTGACTCCTATCTGGCTGCTCTGTAGAATCCTTCGCTTGCAGCACAGCCTTGTGGGAATTGTCGGCACCGGTTACATTGACGCAATCCAAACAACGAAAATGATTACCTGGCAGATAACGCACCGAGGCCAGTGCATGCCGCCCGGCTGTCCCAGCACACGAGCCTTAACACCTCATTAATACCGATGACAACAAAATACTTGGATGTCACCGTCAAGCGGGCACGCAACATTAGCACGACATGTATGAGAGTAATTTCACTCTCATACATTTTAATGCATCGACGCAGCGATGCTAACCAAGTGCTACATGGTGCCTTTTGCTTGATTATAACTTCCAAATATTTTGTTTCTCGTTACGAGAAGCTCGAAATGCCTGCCCGGCGTACATAACCTAGGTGCGTACGTATAGGAGCTGTTTGGATTAACCCTTGCTTCCTCCTTTAAAGCTTCTTGGATAGTCGCTACTAATCAAAAATTAACCCCTTTCAAATCATTAGTGATCCTCCACAGCAGAGACGGAGCGATGGTATCGGCTCGTGCGTCAGCGCTAAACGTTTTTTTACAATGCAGATGGATTCTTGCAACCGTGAGAGATGGCAACGGCTTGTGTAGGGAGCCTCCCAGCAGTAGATTAACCATGATGCATCGATGTATTCATCGATTGAAATTTATCCTCGCGCTCAAGACTAACGCGTTAAATCGTGCGGGCGACAACCGATTACAATTTGCGCAAATTTTAACGATAAATCTATGAGCACCTGAATCGTGACAATCCGTCAGATCGCTCGGGGAGGGGAGGGGGGAAGAGTGGTGCAATCGTAACGTCCCGAGTAATCGGCCATTCCTGCATGAAAACGAACCTCAATGTGGCATCGGGTACGTGGTTAAGTGTGCTTCTGGACGCTATAGAAGCAGAATATGCTGGCATCAGACTCGCTAATGCTGAAACACGTGCCGTACGAAAAATCTAATCTTGAGGCCGTATGTTTTTTTATTTTCATCAACATTGCTGAGTAAAGGCACGAAATGCCAAGCCGCCAGCAATAAACAGCACAATTTGAATGTGTGATAGAAAAGAGTCGATACGTTTCTAGAATTGAGCAAGGTCAAGCGAGGTGATGGGAAAAGAGGTGATGGGAGGGGAATCTAAAGTGGAGACGTGCGAGAGAAGAATGTTGTGACCTGCAGTATGGTGAGCGAGTGGGTAAGTGTGTGTGTGGGTGCTGTTGTTTTGTTGTCTTCGCTGTCGTTATCGTTTTTGTTATTTTCACGTTTTCTTCCCCTCCCCCTCCCTAACCCACCCCCCACCCCATTCTTCCCGCGGCACCGGCAGGGCGGCACAGAGCGGACGTGCTTCGCCGTCATCGCACAGCGTGAGTGCTGGCGGCGCCGGCGACAACCGGAACTACTTTCCGCGCGGGATGGCCACGCGCAGCACCTTCCATGGCGGGCAGGTGCGCGACCGGCGCACCACCACCGGCAATGCCAACGCTGGCGGCGCCGCAGAGCCCGGCGATGGCACCGGCGGCCTCTCCCGTGCCACGCGTGACGGCGCCCGGGGAAGCAGTGCCTCCGGCAACATGTTCTCCCGTTTGACGGCGCGGCTCAGCCGCAGGTGAGTGCGTGCGTCTGTGCTTGTGTGTGTGTAGCCAACACAGTAGGGGGCACAGGTGGTGCATCAGCTAGTCATCTCAGTCATCTCAGTCAATCGACCCGTGGCACCTGGGTCTTGCCCGTGACCTCCTGCCAGCGGGCGTTCAACACTTGACGTGGCCTCAAGGTGCACATGGCCTGGCACAAGCGTCGTGGTGACGTCACCGCCACTTAGTGGCGAATGGCGATTGTTGTAGCCAACACCTTAAAGTGCACATAGCCTGGCACAAGCGCCGTGGTGAGGCCGCCGCCACTTAGTGACGAATGGTGGTTGTTGTCGTGGCCAACGCCAGGGATGATTATCTGTTCCAGTCCTGGGCCTCCCCTAGGCCGACTCAAATGAGTACCTGGTGTGGTGTGTTAAATAAACCTCGCCACTGGGCGGACAAAGGCAGCCGGGCATGGTGTTGTCCTCCCACCCCCTCGTGTACCATGCCGGTCCTTCATAGGTGCTCATTAACAGCACTTGCCCTGACAGTCTGTTAAGGCTATACATGGGGGCTCTTTGGCTTTGTTTGGCAGTCACAGTTGCTGGTGCCACAGTGGCGAGATGTTAACTACCTCGCCTGGTACGGAGGAGGTTGTGGGTTTGATCCTGACCCTGACGCCTGCATATATTTGGAGTCTGCATGTTCTCCCCATGGTCGTGTGGATTTTTCTCTGGGTCCAGTTTTTGAAAATAAACATGCGTTTAGAGCATTTGGCTGATATAAATTTCCACGTGATCATAAGTCACTTCGTTGAGCTATTATTTGTGACCAGCTTCTGAAAAATAGCTATACTGCGCAGTGGGCCTTACCTGGCAAAATATAAAAAAATGGGTTAGTTTTAGTTTGCTCGCTAACAACACAAGCATGCCCCAAAAGGCTGAAATTTCTGTGGGGAGCTTTTTTCTGTCCTTGTTTGTTTGCTTTTGTGCCTTTAATTGTATTGTGACAATGCAACAGTTGGGTCAGAGTAAGTTTTCCAAGTACAGTTGTTTCCTGCTTTTACAACCCTGTCGTAAATCTGACCCTATTTCCCCATAGACAGTAGAAACAGGCGAAACATCACTGGCTGATGTGTGTTTTCCTTTGTCAACCATATTTAACAGGGTGTAATCTGCTTTGTGTTCAGACCTTAAACACGGTAGGACCAACACCTCGGCCATGGCAGATCATTGTTATAATTCAGTAGGCTCACATGACATTGACTTTTCCAAGACAGAGGTTCTTTGTAAGCCATCTGGCTAACATGAGAGATTCGTTCATGAGGCTATCCACATATACAAGCACAGAGACAATTTCAACCGAGAAGATGGATTCTGGCTTAGCAATCATTGGAAAGATTTGATAAACCATTTCAGGTCTTAATTGATTGTTTACGCTTACAGTGGCTTTCAGATCAGCATACATTAATTTTTCATCTCCCCCCTCTTTTCAGAACATAGATGGACTAGTCCTTCTAAATAAACTGCCAAATCGCTGCGCGTGGCGCTGACGGTTTTTATAAATAAATAAAGACACCGTTTTAAAATAAATAAATTAATGCGAACCAACAAACCTGATGACGACCGTTTGTGTTATGGTCGAAACGTCGTGAGAATTTTTATTGTTTTATATATTTTTTATTATTTTATTACTTTATTGTTTCCCTTCAACGTGACTTTACCGAAAGAGCTAAGAATAAAGATGAAAACTCTTGTTCAATTACTACGTTGGTCTTCCATTGCTTCGCACCGTGAAGGTTTTGGTGATCTTTCAAAATCCCCTGCAGTGGTGACAAGCATCAGGGTGTTTACTCCAAAAAGCTCGAGGTTGACCGCTTGTGGCTCAGCGCTGAGCTGTTAGCGCTGAGATGGAACGTGGGTCTCGGCAGCCGCCTGCGTTTAAACCGGAGACTTTCATAAAGGCAACGTAGACTTTCGCAGAGATTTGTATATACGTGCAGACAATGTTGTGATTCAGCCAGGTCCCTAGCGTAGTGAGTCGACCAATGATTTTGCACGCAAAGAAAACCCATCACGGTAAATTGAATTGTGTTGCTTAATTTGGCTATACATATGAATGTATTGTTTGGCTGTCATGGACGGGCATTCATTTGAGTGGCAATGTGCTGCCCTCTACTGTACAGACTAGAGGTCACTTCAAGAGACGTCAGAGGTAGCTCTGCACTATGCACGTAGGCGAGTTACTGCTCTGCGAGAGTTCCGAATGGAGACCTTGTCTCACAATGGGATGCCAATAAAGCAATCGGGATAACATTGGAGGTGGGTAGGGGTGGGAACATTGTTTAAACATTATGTTAATGATGAGCAACTCCTCGTCAGGCTAGGCAAGTGCATGCATACTCTTTGGTTCTTTCGGTAAAGTCACGTGGGTAGAAATGAAATTAAATAAATCACGACGTTTCCATCACAACACAAGCGACCGTCATCACGCTTGTGTCGCGATCGAAACGTCGTGCTTTATTTTATTTTATTTCTACCTATGTGACTTTACCGAAAGAACCAAAGAGTATGGATTCCTGAAGTCACGAAAGCTTCAAGTGAAGTGCGTGCAGTTGAAATAAATGAGTAATACACACAGGAGGGCATATTCTGGGTGATTTGGTCATTGACGTATATTCACTTATATTGGCAATATAAATTGGCACCACCTAATTTTTGCCACCTTAGGTGCTCCCAACTTATGCTTTTGTCCAGTGACTCGTTGGGATGTGTGAAACGAGTTTTAGGTGTTTGGGTGGGCTGTGCTTGCCTGTTTATTTTAACAAACCTCGATGTCGATATTTCATCTGATGGGTCTAGGTTGCCCGTGCAATCGTCAAGGCATGTAACAATTAATTAATCGATCAAAATAGATCTTTATGCTTAGTTTACATGGTGCATGCATCAAATCTTGTGTGAGAATTAGTCTTGCAGTTAAGGCAAACGAATTTATGTGGTGTGATAATATTACATATTGCCTAATGGAGAGTGCAAAATTGTACAACGCAAGACATAACAAATAAAAAACCCACAAATGAGATAAATTTATTGTTGAATTGTCGCTTCGAGTTACGACACAATATTCCAGTTATAATAATGATGACGGTGATTCGCCCAGAAATGCCTCGCTGAGTCTCAAGACCTATTTCTCAGAAGGGCCCTGCGGTACATTGTGATGTTTGGCCAATTCCATGAATGACAGTGACTTTGTGTGTAAGGCAAGCCCCACCACTATGTGTATACAAGGGGTTGCACTGGGCACTGCCATCTCCTCACCACACCGTGTGTTTCCGATGACAGTTGAACTACAGTGGTGGTAGGGCGGGTGGGCAGTGTGGATTGCTACAAGCGTGCGGTGGGCTGCGAGCAGTTTTACTCCTTGGCATTTTTTAATGTTTGTGCGTTTTCACCAAAGGACTTTTTTATATCTGACGTGCGCACGTTGCTTCATCGACTTGACTACTTCCTGTTTCCACTGCTACTACCAGCACAGCATATGAGCAGAGTGGGATGGAAAAATTCTGCTTGCTTTGCGAATGGCCTTTACATGCTAAGGGGAAGCGGTGTTCCAAAAAGAGTAATGTACGTACCAATTTATATTTACAGACAGTGTTAGAAATTAATTGCCATTTCATATACCGGTTGAGGGGGTTAAAATTTAACTCGTTTATTTACCAGGTATAGCCCACCAAGCTATTAGATTTGTTTCAGAGGCGATCTGAGAATACATGATAGCTCATCAAAGTGGGTTATCATACGTGGGAATTTATAGTAGCAGCCAAACAATGTATATGCATTTTTCTAAATGTGGAGAGGAGAAAACTGGAGGACCTGGAGAAAAATCCATGCCTCCGCCATGGGGAGAGGTAGAGATCACATGAACTCCAAATATTCAGAAGGCATCAGTGTCGAACCCAGGACCTCCTTCGTACCAGGCGAGGGAGATGACATGGCAGCAGGTTCACTCGCCCCCTGATGTTCCGTCCCTCCGGGGTCGATAAACTGGAATAAAAATACAATCACGTGACCTGGCCCAGAAACAAACGTGGATCATTGCATTGGCTGTGACGAAAATCTTTGTTTTGCCTGAGTAACCGCTTTTGGTGGAGGGGGGGGGGGCGATTGTCGGAGTGCGGAAGTTGAACCTCCTTCTGGCTCAGGGCTGTAAATATTAAGGGGTGAGCACCGCCGCCGACACTCATTTGAGCAGGAAATCACTTTGATTTTTTTCTTGTTGACTTTGGTCAAGGGTTGAATAGTGTGTAACCGCTGCTAGCCGTGCCCCAGTTTTTTCTGCCGCTCGATTTAAATGTGTGGTATTTAGGAGACCACGCGGTTGGAAGGCATGACACAGACATTTTCAATCATTCATTCATCCGTGCTATAAGTGCACATGCATCTCTTAATCACCCATTCCGCCCGCCGCCTCGCCCACCACGCTACTTGACAGCACCCGAAGAGGCCCGCTTGGCCCCGTTGACTCAATCAAGTGACATCAACATTTGTTATGCTGTGTATACCTGAACCACATGCTCATTTGCCCAAGTTTAAAAGTAATTAAAGTCAAACGTTTATCGTTTACATGCCATCTCACATTTTTCTTCCTTTTTCTTTTTATTTATTTACTTGGCTGTAGAAATCTGTCTATCCGATTTACCAGAAGGTAGGCCGAATGCACCATTTTTCATGTCGGTCTCTCTATAACCCCAACGCATCCGTTTCCAGCTCGCCACACTAACCCTAATCTCTCCTGCGCTGCGCGTGGCTCGTTGTTGTGATTGGTTGCACGGTGTGCCCCCACGGTGTGCCCATGCGGTGTTGCCCCCGCGATATGTACCCCCGTGGTGTGTACCCTCGCGGTGTGCCGTGCTTTTTCTGCATGGGGACAAAGCGCACGGTGGCCGAGCCTCGCTTTGTTGGGCATTTTGCTCCTCCCCGTGTCACAACGACGCCTGTATTATCTCCTCCACCCCCCCCCCCTCCCCCCACGCCAATGCGATGGTCCTTCCCGTCGTCCTGTCTTCTCCTACGAGAGCCCTCGTCCATTTTCCGTCTGTGCGCGAAAATGGGGCCCGGTTTTGTTTGGCGCAGCACGAGGCCGAGCATCGCTAACGCTAACGGTGTGGTTAACGGTGCGGTTAACGGTGCGGTTAACGGTGCGGTATCCTCTGTGGCCTTGTTTCAACCCCCGGGGAAAGGGCCCGTAGCTGCACTGTCTTGTCTACTCTGCTGCCACGTTGTCTTGGTGTCTGGCTCTCTCCGTGTGACCTCTGTGAATGGCATCTTCGTCCGCCACGCCGTGTCTGATCTGCTGCTCCGTGTCTCTTGTGTCCCTGGAGGGCTGTCAACGAGGTGGAGAAGAACGGCAGGCTTGAGGGACCCAGGTGAGTTGGCATTGCAATCCCCCAGCTGACGTTCTTGTCCTGTACTGCCCTGCTCCCTGCTGCGCAAATAACGGTGACCGGGGTGGCTCAGGTCAGAGCGGTGAGCCGACGCCGCTGAGATCCTGGAGTTGTGAATCCACGTCACTGCCGCCTCTGATTAAAAGCTGAGCTTGCAAGTGTAGCGATAGTTGATGGGTCACAGCCCACCCTCCAATGATCACGCAGAAAATAAAGTCACGTTGAATGCGGTTTCGCACTTAATTGGGCTAAATTCCAGCTCTTAGAATGAAAACGATCAGTTTGGCTGTCATCCAACAAACATTGATCTGCTTGCAGCAGGGGAGGGTGGTAAAGTGCTGACCCCTACTCTGTTAGCCAGGCATCACTTGAAGAGTTTTTCAGAGGTATCTCCTTAACTAACAGCTTCTGTGGACAGTTCTCCGTGGCAAAGTTGTTGCACTGCCCTGTGGAGTTCCAACTGGATTATTGGTCCCATGACTTGGCACCAACTCGAATAAAATTGTGGAAAAAGACAAATTTTTTGAAAAAGTCACCGACTTCCAGACTAATATGACCCATGTTACCCCCCTGCCTGTGGCCCACTCTCCTACTCCCCCTACTCCCCCCACCTTCCCCGCTCCTCCTCCCACCTTCCCCGCTCCGCCTTCTCCCGCACGGCCAGTGGTGGCGGTAGCCGGACGCCGTTTGCTGAGCCGCGGGAGGAGATCCCGCGCGATCCCAAGCCCCGCGCGCTGCGCTTCACATGGAGCATGAAGACGACGAGCTCGATGGACGCGCGCGAGATGATGCGCGAGATCCGCAAGGTGCTGGACGCCAACCGGTGCGACTGTGAGGTGCGCGAGCCCTTCCTGCTCTACTGCATGCACGGCGACGATCACGGAAGTGGCGGCGGTGGCGTCGGCAGTGACCTCGTCTGCTGGGAGATGGAGGTGTGCAAGCTCCCGCGCCTCTCGCTCAACGGCGTGCGCTTCAAGCGCATCTCGGGCAGCTCCATCGCTTTCAAGAACATCGCTTCCAAGATCTCCAATGAGCTCAAGCTCTAGCCGACGGCCCCGGGAGATGATGCGAGTGCCCCCCCCCCCCCCCCCGCCTCCCCCACCCCACCGCCCCCCCACCTCTCGTTGTCTTCCCCGTCTCCCCATCACAACCTTCTTATCTCCCCCCCCACCCCCAAATGCTCTGCCCAGCCCTCCGCCGTCAACAGCCCTCGCCGTCCCTTCTCTCGTGAAATTTTCTCTCCGTGGTTGATAATGTCACTCGAGCCTTGGACTCGGATGTTGGCGTTTGGTGCACTCCAGATATTATTTTGTTTTAGTCCTTCAGGGTACTGTGTAGCTGCGTCTTCAGCCCGCCGGACCCCACCACCACCTCTGCTACCTGGATTCCGGGGGCTTATTTCACGTCCGTGGAAGTGAGCTTAAATTTTGTGGTGATGCTTGAAGTGCTGGAGCGGGTATGTGTACAGGAGCTGCGCGTGTGTGCGCCCCACATCTCGTGGTGGTGATGATAGTGATGGTGGTGGTGATGATATACATTTCTGCTTTGTCATTTGCTCACCCTCCCGAAGTGACGTCGTCTTCACGTGTGCGGCAGCCCTGTCCCCCCCCCGTTGCCTGCGCGCGGGAAGCTTTGCATGAAACGGTGACTCTTGTGGCTGTTGGTCAAAAAAATGCGTTCCCCCACTCCTGTCACACCGCCCGGGTTGCTCCCCCCCCCCCCCCCCCCCCCCCCCCCCCCCCAACAGACCCACCGAGCTAAGCGTTTGACCATCTCCCTTTTTGCCGTTGCACAGCGTCGCCCTTCTGCCAAAATGCGTTGCTCTCGGCCGGGCTTGGTTTATCTTCACATACGGTGTGGCGGGCGTCCCAGCGGGCGGGTGTCGTAGCCACACTGTGGGCAGCTCTCAAAGGGGGGGGGAGGGGGTTGTTATTTTACGTTTTGGGTTTTTTAGTATTCGTTTGTTTCACGCAACGAAAGGGGGCACATCGATGTTGGGCTTGAGCTGCTGACGTGACCACAGATCATCACGGTGGAGGTGGAGCGAAAACACGGGACGGAGTGCAGAGGCTCGGTTTTTGCTAAATACATAGCTTAGGAGCAGAGAAAATTGAATATTTTGGGTACATTTTGTAATGGAAATAGGCCTGAATTGTTTACTGCTCTGAGCCTTGCTCTCTCTCTCTCTCACTTGTAATTGTATAGCTTGCTACAAATCCAAGTGAATGTTGATTTTATACGCTGTAAGAATGAACTTTGGAGGTAAAAAAAATTATAAAAAATATTTTGTAAGGGGGATAATTAATTTATGGCTGTGTAGCATACAGAATATAACTTTTTGTTGTCTGGTTATTTTTTTCTTTGTTTCACGTTGGGGCTGCCTTAGTCTGTTGGGGTTTTTCTTTATATATTTCAACACTATCTGGTGTGTAGCACCGCGCACAGTTGATTCGAGTAATGTATATTATTTAGGCCAGTTTATGTTTGGAAGCTTTCTTTTTAATGAACACTGGCGAATAATTGTGCTTGATTAATGCTATGATCGTACGTATTTAGGTGTCATTTGGTTGGCATATCTATTTTCTCGGTAGCAAACGTGCTCCACAGACTGCACAGTTTGGTTTTGTTTTATTTCCTTAATGTTCATCGCAAACCGACGTTGATATACTGTAAATAAAGATGTGTGATGTAATGAATTGGGTGAACGTGATATAAACGGTACTGTCCTCTTCACCTCTCGTGTTTGATTCCAACCGACAATTAAAATAAAAGTATTTCAGATATATACCGTGATATTTTAACAAGAGACTTGGAAATGTACGCGCTCAGTGTCGTCGTCGTTGAGAGTGAAGGGGGCCCCCCCCCCGACCCCTCTGGGGTCACACCGGCCCCAGCGCGTGGCAACTCGAAACACGCCCCGACGATAACTCCAGCATTAATCCCGTTTCGCCGTCAGATCTTGTGTTTTTTGTGCGTGTTCCTTTCCTCCCAATCGTGCGCAGCATAAATATTGACTCGCGACGCGTGTTCTTTCCAGGCGGCGAGCGCTTGCGGCGCGTGACCCGGCCGCTCGGTTAATTTGTCAGCGCGACCGGTTTGACCGTGTTTTTTTTTTGTTCATCTCATCGTAGGGGGCTGCGCTTTTCGTGGGACGGGGGTTTTCCTTTTTCCGACGTCAGACCCTTGTCGACCGACGCGGGTTTGTGGTGTGGGTTGCATGGAAAAAACTTTGTCTTAAATCGGAGCGACGGTGCACCCCCCCCCGCCCCCATCCCACCCCCACCGTGACGGAGGTCAGGAGTCACGCCGCTGCGGTTGTGTGGCGACGAAAAAGGCATTTTGGGGATTGGGGGAAGCCCTTTTTTATCAGCGTCCTACATCGTGTGGCATCGACGTTAACGGCTTGACCACCCCCTCCTGCTCGCTTAATGAATGACTGCGTTGGCAGCGGGGTGTGCAGACAGGTGCGGAATGCAACTCGACACTTTCAGCGTTAGTGCTGCGCTCGTAGCAAAGGTGAAAAGGCAGAACAAAAATAAAATGTAGAAAGGCGTTGGTGGAGGTGTGAACGCCATGGTCAGCTTTGGCCGCGCCGACTTGACTGGGCAAGTTAAAATGGGGCTGATGTTTTGGTGAATAGCTACTCTTAAAAAAGGGCCATTGCTTGAAATGTTAGTCTACTTTTCTTTTCTTGTTCAACTTTTCCCTTCTACAGTTATTGATCGTAATGTTATTTTTCCCCAATCCCATGGCAACCGCTTCCTTTGTCCATGCAGATTTGATTCTTAAGCACACTTCTCAACCGACGGTGAGCGGTGCATTTGAGCCCTGTTGTTGACCGTGTGTTATCGGTTGTCTCTGGTTTGTGATAAACCCTCGTGTAATATTACAGGACACACTGTGCGACGGGCATATTCAATACCCACTTTGACGGCCGCTCCCGTCCGTAGCAGGGTTGGGGGGAACCCGTGACTTCATTTTATACGACTCAAAGATATCAGAATTTGCATCTTGGTCGTGAGTTCATTTCGGAACTGCGACGCGACACCGCAACACTGTTGGTGATCGCAGAGTGGGTCGCGGGCCTCGCGTTGGTGCGTTTCGGTGAAGGTGGGGCCTCGCTATTTTTTCACGTTGCCACTGGGGTAAAACGCGAGCGTATGTTAACGCACGTTGTTTGCGTGTGTTTGCCTGCCAAAGGGAATTTTGAAGTCCTGTTCGGCACCGTCGATATGGAAACGGTTTCCCTCCCACCCCCACTCTCTAAAAGATTTGGTTGCAGTGCGGCAGGCCCTGTGGCAATGCCATCGCTGGAACGGCAGACGTCAATGTGGTTATTAACTCTATTCCGCGTTACTGCATGTTGAAAGCTCCTACATCTGGCATTTCTAGGATATGTTCTAAATCAGTAAGTACACTTTTAACTTAACACCACTGGCTGAAAATGTCGATGCCCATTGTATTATTCCTCTTGTTTCCGCATGATCGTTGTCTTTCAGATACTTGGAATCACTTGCCACAATCATCGTGGCCAACATTACAAAACGTAGCCAAGGAAAGTCTGTATTATGCTGTAAAATACCAAAGTTCGTTGAGTTTTTTGGCAGACTTTGCGGTCAGTCCAGCGGTCGGAAGCAGTGTATTAAATGTCAAGGTTGTGACCTTTCACATTTTCATAATGAACATTTACTTATTCTTTCAAATGGGAATTATAACCGTTGCTACCTTTGTTACCCAAGTGCCCTTCGCAAAAAGTGTGGATCTCTCTTTCCTTCCCCTGGTGGCTCTTGCCAAAAGTTAGGTGGAATTCTCGTGCCGTTATTCGACGAAGAAATCATTTTTAATTCGAAATAAATATTTTTTATCTTGAAAATTAATTGTTGAAGTCCATACGTTGCAATCAAAATGGTTCCTTTCTACCACCGGCTTCCACTAAAATACGTCCGGAAAAGTTTTCATGCGAGAAAATGTTATTTTAAGGGATATGTGACCTTTGCATCAAAAAATCTTTACTGGAATTCGACATTTTCTTTTCACTTACGATGTCTTTTTTTTGCAACTGGTCACATAGTCGTGGTTATTCGCACTCACATTTTGTTTCGGAAACCTCACTGCTGATGAGACCCCAAAGGTCTTAAAGCAGTACCGAGTGCTCGATTAAACAAACGCTGCTAGATAATGTTGGTCTGGAAAGCCGTTGGCTGAGTTCTGTCCATATCTGTTCATATCTGCTACCCACAATGCCCCCTCACCACAATGCAGATTGAGTTGGCATGAAAACGCGAACAATTCGACTGACAAACGGTTTCGAGTCCCGTAGCCAGTCCGTAATTGTAGAAATCGATTAACTTCAAGAGTGAATGCGCATTGAAACTTATCGGATTGCGTATCAGGTAGGTAGCCAGCCACGGAACTCGAGTTGCCCCCAAAATGTCGCAAAATTCCGTCTCGTACCGTATTCACGCCACGGCAAGTTTTGCGAGCTTAACGCCCATTTCCATTGCGCTTCTGCGTCCGGGCGGGCACCGCTCACCTGCGTATATACGCACACGCGCCTGCAGTGGAAACAGCTTATGACAATCCGACTATTTCTAGGCGGCCCGTGTTTGTACAGAAAGCTCGCCACAAAGTCTGCCACGTGGTCTTGTAGCTACCCCCTCGACCCCCCCACCCCACCGCTGCCCGCCGGGTACGCGTGCGTCGTGGTTGTCGTTTACTTGTTCGGGATACCCGCGCACACCGAGTTGGAACGCTTAAACCGTGAGAGCAGCGAGATGAGATTTGTCGTTTTTTTTTTACGAAAAGGGAAAATCTATCCACGAGCGAGATAAATCCCAGTGCGTCAAGTGCCTGCAAAAACGTTTGCTGAGGATCGGCTGGGCTCACTCGGTGTGGGTGCTGTGCCTAATTATGGGACTCTCCCCCCCCCCCCCCCCCCTGGAGCCAGTGGCCTGAAAATTGCTTATCGGTACCACCGGGGGGAGGGGGGTGCGGCGAATGCTACCAATGATTGTTGTTGACGCGTGTTATCGCTGGTTCAGATATACATATGGATAGCGAGGTGGGTCGTGATAGCGTCTTATGAGTAAATGTCACAAAAGGATACCACAGCGTGCTCAGCAGAGAGTATCGCATAGACGTCACCAGCGAGAGGCAGAAACTCCCATCTTGCCTTTTGCATGCATGTCATGTGACCACTACATTGCGTCTGCAGTTCCATGCAGGGGCATGCGCGTGAGCAGCGGTGGGGGGGGGGGGGTGCGCGTTGGGGTGTTCGATTCGCGTCCAGGCGGCAACGCTTGTGGGGGGGTTTCCTCATCGCTTTCAGAAAGTTTCCGGTTTTTGAGCATATCGTTTTAAGAACGGAAGAAACGAACGCGATTATGAACCGTCCGAAATGTGAGAACAAATGGGAAGTGTGTCTATGAAATGGAAGGTATAATATGCTGATGGTGGACACTGCCCCATCCATGGTGGACAGTACTGTACTGGCAGCATTTGCCACCCTAGGTGGTACCGAACAACCCCCCCCTTTGGTGGCTCGTGGCCCCTTCTACATTTGTCCGTGGAATACTTTCTCCTACCCAGCACGTGTTCCCAGCAGCAGCAGAAGCGTCATCCTGTGTTGTCTCATCGCGGGCCCCATTCCCTGCTGTCTTTTGTCTTCGCTGTCTGCTGCTGTTGTACACCGCCGCCTGTCCCGTCTTGCCTGTCCTCGACCCTGGATCATGAATGCTGCTTTTTCCCCATTTGCCTTAAGCGAAGCACCTACTTCCCACACACACACACAGGGGCACTTTTTTTGGCGGTCGTCGATTTTGTAAGAATATCGTAACGGCGCGCGAACTGGGTTGGCACAGGGAGATTTTTTGTTGTTATTCTGACCGGAGAGCTTCGTTTGTCTTGGCGGAAATCGTTGAAAAGCATTCTCGCAACGGCCCCGATTGCTGCTTGGGTTGGTGCAGAAAGGCATAAAAACAGGTGAACATTGTTTTGCAAGAATAATGGTACTAATACAGTTATGCAATTATATTTAGGAAATAATAAAGTTGAACCATAGTGATTACAGATATTTAACAAATGTACGTAAAGTTCTCAGAATCCCCCGTAGACAGACGATGTTGTTGCCGACAGATCGACATGACTGAACTCCGAAACTTCTCCCAAAACTTAATCTTCGATTCGCGTGCCATTTCTTATAATAACCACGATGATCTAACAATCGCTCCGTTTATATGGAGTTTGCTTAAATGCCTCTGCAATCCAAAGCACCTTATGTCACGTTTCATCTCAACCATTCGATGGGTACCCGCCCCACCCCCCCCGATACCAGCTGTCCATGTGCGGCACAAAGAGACGGAGCACCAGCCGGCAAGCGGGTACTCGTCACACCTCCACAATTAGATTTCCAAAACACAAAAGTTTTTAAAGTTTAAATGTCCCTTTGCCAGCCTGTGAATCGCGCCCACGTGATTTTTACACATTCACTCGTCGGCGCACAAAACGACCTCGCGGGTTTCCGCCAGGACTGCCGATGGCAACTCGCAGCCGAACGCCCAGGATGGGTGATGCAAAGTTTCCTCTCCGGGCTGTGGTTGGTTGGTTGTGGTTGTTGACGAGTACGGCCCGGTCCGTCTGCCTGTCGTGTCTGTTGCGTGCGTCTTGTCTGCGCGCAGGACAGCGGTTGGCGTTTTGTGCGCGATGTTGAGGTCTGCGTGTTGGTTGGTGACTGCGTAAAAGGGTCTGGCTTCGGTTCGAGGGTTCAATCCGCCAGTTTTTGTATGACTTGGTGCTTTTATAAAGGACTTTGTTAAACCTGTGGTTCGTACGTTGCTCTGTGCTTTTTACTGAACACACTGTTTCCGTGTTTTTCATCTTTTCCTTTGTTTTGTTTATCCCACCCCATGTTTTTTGGGATGGGAGTTTCAGGTTTTGTGAATTAAAAACGGTATCCAACGCTGACCCAAACCCGGCTTGCGATGTCGTGAGTTTCTGTAGCGCGAGTGTTTAGAAACGAGAACAACAACAACAACTGATAGCGCGAGTGGCATGGCACGATGGTGGGGTTCATCATGGCCGGGTCACTGCGCTGAGCTACCAGCCCGCTGATTGAGAGCCCAGGGTTCGAATACAGGCTGTACTGGTGAGGATTAGAAACACAAAAACCACGTAAATGAGGTGGTCCGATTAGGTTCGGAGGGGTGGGGGGGGGGCTGTTCACAATATCTAGACCACAAAAACTTAAGCTATCACCCCACTAATGAGGTCGTGGGTTTTGAATCCGGGTTGGAGTTACCTGCGATTAAACTGTATCATATGTAAGCAGTTGATTGTCAGCCCGGTAACCACTGATTGAGCAAAAATCAACACGTAACTTGGCGGCGTTACTTTAATTCTGCATGTTTCCAGCTGTGTAAAGGTTCATGCTGGTGTACTCGGTTGCCATGCAAATGAACGCCTCTTTAACAGAGGGGTGCTCGAGAATGTTCCACACCACCTCGTGCAGGTACGAAGAGGCTCACGAGGGAGATGACATTGTCAACGTGCAGTCCTGTTCTACCGTTCACGCGTGGTCGCGACGCGGATTGTATATAACGCGACTGAGTGACCAGAACGAAGTTGCGTGAGTAGGACTAAGCGGTCGTACGGCTGCCTCGGCGTAGCATCAGGCAGCAAGGCGGGTTGCTGCTGGATGCTTCGAGATGCTACCCACACGCCTCAGTCTTTGTTCAGCCTGCGTAAGCATCTCGCGAGTTAGCGCGTGGCCTGTGTTTTTTTTACCCTATACAACTATAGCGCGATTTTTCCATAACGCGGTGTGCTTCAGCAACGCAACCTAGCGCGTTTATAGGAGAACAAAACGTACGGCATGAATAAGTTGTACTTATTCAATGGAACAAAGTTCCCGTTTCATTTATAACGCATCGAACGGCTATGACCGAGGAGCATCAACCATCACGCGAGCTCCGCTGCATCCTCGCAGAGGCTTTTGGCCGGACAACGAACAAAGAAGGCGAACCGCATTGCGCGCTTTCAGGGGCGCCTCTGCGGCCGTCTGGAATGCTCTTCCGATATTAGGAAGCCACTCGAGCCATGATGCACCTTGAAATAGTCTAGATTGAAAACTCATTTAGTTTGAACAGCTTGTCGTGTGTTAGTTTGTTTTCCTTCCACCGCACCTCCGATTAGCACGGTTGGCTACGCACGGTGCGAAATAAGTTCAACATGCATACAAATTACAAATCACCCGGAATGTGCTCATTCCCCTCTTTTTTGATATCGGAAACAGGGTAATGCTTGAATGGGAGACTCAGCCGTGCATGGCCGGTATGGTCGGCATTTGACGGCCGCATAGGGCGGTGAACCAAAATCTCATTGTCCTCCTATGCTCAGGGCCAACAACACTCGGGCCTTAACCGGCATGGCCCTACGGCCAAATAACCCCCACGTGCCGCACAGCGTTGGGGAGGCCCTCATCCAGCAGTGGATATGACAAAAAAGGGGAGCTGCACGTGGACATGAGCAGCCACGGTAAAGGAGTGATTTTTTTTTCTCTGATTTATTTCGGAGGAAGTTTGTGACAGGGAGGTCATAGGGAAATGGGATGACAGTGGTGAAATTGACGGTTCGTTTCGTCGAGAATATTTGTCAGAAAAGGGGAAGACGCCTTTTGAACTTAGATATGACTTGTAAAATAAATAATGTACCTAAGCTCTGTATAAATGGGCGCTTCAGCAGCAACTCCTTAAACCGGTTTCGACTGGTATGGCAAGCAGAGACTGGATATGCTCGTTAAATAGTTAATAAACTGGACCGCGCTATCGATCAACACAGTTCGTCACGGAGGCGCCAAAGGGTCCCCCCCCCCCCATCGGCACTGGCTCGGCTCTGATGTGCCAGTGGAGAACGGATCATTTGAGCACACACTTTGGTGAAGAAACATCGTCAGCGCTCTGAAGCCTTTCGGGGAGGGTCATGTTACAAGTGGGGTGTTTGGCAAATCGGTTGGATGTTTTAAAAGAGCACGTAAGGACATCCCTCGATGTTAGGAACAGATATGTTCATGAAACGCACTTCAAAACGAAATCCCGTATCGTCATCACGATCCGTGGGCGTGGGCAGATAGCCCGTAGATGTCCACTGCACATTTTGACATTTGTGTCCACTCTCTTCTGTGTCGTGCCAATTTTCTCAAGTCGAGCCGCATCTTAATGGCACCAATCATGATTTCGTGAAGCCATTCTCTTCTCTTACAGTGAGGAAAAAAGTATTTGATCTCCTGCTGATTTTGTACGTTTGCCCACTGACAAAGAAATTATCAGTCTATATTTTTAATGGTAGGTTTATTTGAACAGTGAGAGACAGAATAACAACAACAAAATCCAGAAAAACGCATGTCAAAATGTTATAAATTTATTTGCATATTAATGAGGGAAATAAGTATTTGAACCCCTCTCAATCAGAAATATTTCTCGCTCCCAGGTGTCTTTTATACAGGTAACGAGCTGAGATTAGGAGCACACTCTTAAAGGGAGTACTCCTAATCTCAGCTTGTTACCTGTATAAAAGACACCTGTCCACAGAAGCAATCAATCAATCAGATTCCAAACTCTTCACCATGGCCAAGACCAAAGAGCTCTCCAAGGATATCAGGGACAAGATTGTAGACCTACACAAGGCTGGAATGGGCTACAAGACCATTGCCAAGCAGCTTGGTGAGAAGGTGACAACAGTTGGTGCGATTATTCGCAAATGGAAGAAGCACAAAATAACTGTCAATCCCCCTTGGCTTGGGGCTCCATGCAAGATCTCACCTCGTGGAGTGGGAATGATCATGAGAACGGTGAGGAATCAGCCCAGAACTACACGGGAGGATCTTGTCAATGATCTCAAGGCAGCTGGGACCATAGTCACCAAGAAAACAATTGGTAACACTACGCCGTGAAGGACTGAAATCCTGGAGCGCCCGCAAGGTCCCCCTGCTCAAGAAAGCACATACATGCCCGTCTGAAGTTTGCCAATAAACATCTGAATGATTCAGAGGACAACTGGGTGAAAGTGTTGTGGTCAGATGAGGCCAAAATGGAGCTCTTTGGCATCAATTCAACTCGCCGTGTTTGGAGGAGGAGGAATGCTGCCTATGACTCCAAGAACACCATCCCCAACGTCAAACATGGAGGTGGAAACATTATTCTTTGGGGGTGTTTTTCTGCTAAGGGGACAGGACAACTTCATCACATCAAAGGGACGATGGACGGGGCCATGTACCGTCAAATCTTGGGTGAGAACCTCCTTCCCTCAGCCAGGGCATTGAAAATGGGTCGTGGATGGGTATTCCAGCATGACAATGACCCAAAACACACGGCCAAGGCAACAAAGGAGTGGCTCAAGAAGAAGCACATTAAGGTCCTGGAGTGGCCTAGCCAGTCTCCAGACCTTAATCCCATAGAAAATCTGTGGAGGGAGCTGAAGGTTCGAATTGCCAAACGTCAGCCTCGAAACCTTAATGACTTGTAGAAGATCTACAAAGAGGAGTGGGACAAAATCCCTCCTGAGATGTTTGCAAATCTGGTGGCCAACTACAAGAAACGTCTGACCTCTGTGATTGCCAACAAGGGTTTTGCCACCAAGTACTAAGTCATGTTTTGCAGAGGGGTCAGATACTTATTTCCCTCATTAAAATGCAAATCAATTCATAACATTTTTGACATGCGTTTTTCTGGATTTTGTTGTTATTCTCTCTCACTGTACAAATAAACATACCATTAAAATTATAGACTGATCATTTCTTTGTCAGTGGGCAAACGTACAAAATCAGCAGGGGATCAAATATTTTTTTCCCTCACTGTAGGCCTTCCCCTCTCTCCGGTTCCTTCCATTTTTTCCCAACGTATTCCCTCGATAATCGGAAAATAAAGTTCCTTTCACTGTCTCTTCTCAAGCACAAGTCTGTACACGATTTGCCGTATACGGAGGGACGAACAGTGGTTTTACTTCGTGCGGGAGGTTGAAACCAGAGACCCAGACAAAGCGCACCGCGCACACGAGGGAATAAACACTCAAAAATGTGCACGACACAAGCCTCACGCATCCACTTGCTGGACTGCCATATCCGAGCACCACCTCGTAGCGTTAACGCTCCACTTGCTGTCCCGCCGAGACAGTCCTGGACATCTGCGTGAGAAAAAAAAGAGCTTCATAGCTCATCGGATTCCTCCTGCAGTCCACACTCTCCACAGTAGCTCAGCCTCGCCTGTACACGACACTCGCTGTCTCTCACTGACGGCGCTGGCTCAGATACCCAACTACTATAATCCGTAGCGAAATATCCAGCGGAGACGTTCAGCGACGACGGCGATGAGATGAGTCCACTCCCAGAACCGGCAGCCTCGAGCTCCCCGCTCTCGGTTCCTTTCATGCTCCCAGCGCGCCCTGGCTCCGCCCTGACCACGCCCTGGCTCCGCCCTGACCGCGCCTCCCTTCTCGAACCTGCTAGCAGGTTCCGGGGACCCTCCAGATGGGGTCCTCCGTGACCCTCGCCATCGTTCCTCCTCTGCCAACACGCAGCCGTGCTCACCCTCAGCGGCGCGTGCGCTGTCTGTCCACCGCAGTTGCCGCTGCTGTCCATCAGCCGGCGCTATTACACTAGGGGGGCGTCCGTAAATGACGTCACGCACCTAGGGGGGTGGGGGGGGGGTCAGACATTTGTGACGATGTGTGACGAGGGGAGGGGGCGAGTTTGAGAAATGTGACGTCACATCAAAATGCGCAACTTTAAATAAATATAGACAACACGTTCTACTTAATTAAATAGACTTTGGAGTGCAGCGCCACATTAAATACGCACTATAATGACAATAGGTTAAAGCGATTTGAAGCATGTTTTTTTTTTATTTGGGGGGGGCGCAGAGCTTTGTGACGTCATATTTGAGAGGGGGGGGGTTGACTTTTGTGACGCCGTGTGA